ACTGATGATTTCTACTTAGTCCACGCGAGAGGTGTTAAGTGTTGAAATTTACATTTGTAATTTTTTATTATATACCAAATTCTTTTCAATCTAAAACCTATAGCGTGCATCATATAATTTACTGGTAACTGTCACAGAGTTATATGGGTGCTATTATTTTGTGAACTACTGGATTTGTAGTTAGCTAGGTCGGGGTGATTTAAACTACTGTGACATGATCTTCAGATTACTGATACTGAGAAACAGTATAAACAACTGCAGCTTTTGGAATATTTTTGTTGTGCTTTTTTTGTGATTTGAGAACAGATTTTTAAAACATGCGAGCTTGGACATGCAAATAAAGTGAGATGGCACAGAGGAGACAGTTTTAGAAGTCCATGGGAACTCTCTCAGTTCTGTTGTAAAACTTCTGTCATTCTGGGAAGTGGGATACTAAAATAGATTGAAGATTGTAATTGGTACAGGATCAAAGATGGAAACTGACATGCAGAGAGTTGAGTTTTGTGTGTTTTCATCCCAGAAAAAGTTAATTCTGCATATATGGGGCTGGTGCTCCTTAATTACTGTTACTCCATTATTGAGTGTTGCTTTCTTTCTAGCTCATCTTTCAGCAAATTGAATACTAATGTTCATGCCAATCATACAAGAGTGTGTTGAGTTCAGCAGCATAGTCCAAAGGCAAAGAAAACTTTGTCTGCTTTGAGAGGTGTATCAGAGGCCTCCATTTTTCTAAACAGACTCCCTGGATTTCAGAAAAGGAATTTTTGTCACCAGTAATGCCATCGCTGCACTACCCTGGCATGGTGTGTTCAGAGCCATGTTCTGGAGGCCTGGTTCCTCTAAATGTGTATTTTATTAGAGCAGATGTGGTGGGTGGTGTCAGATGGCACTTAGCTCAGTGCCGGTCTCTGACGGAAGCCAACAGTCAATGCCTGATGCAGAGACAAGTAATAGATGGGGTGGCCCATCTCTGGAGCTTCAAACTTTTTTTGGCTAAGAAGAGCTCTGAGCTTATGTAATAAAGTATTTATGATATCAAGTATTTCTGTCTATTGTTGGACACAGTATGCAAGTATGGGGGGGTAAAACAATGATTCTGCCCACTACTCTCACCCCCTGGACATCTAGAGTAGTCAAAAATACAATATTGTATTTCTGTATCAAATGTCCTTTTAATGTCAGATATACAATAGCAAGGTAATATTTTTGTTTTCTTGCATATCTGTCCACTTTTCTATTATGTATAAGAATATGTACATTTCTTTTGTAGCCACGTCATGAATACTTTAATGTACCAGTGTACTAAATGGCTTCATTCATCATGCATGCAGAATTTCAGAGGAGATAGACCTGTGACTTACTCATGACAGAGCATTATCATCAGCTTGCTGAATCCAGTCATCCTGAATCTAATAGAATGCCACAACCATTCTCTGCTGTTGTACTTTCCTCTTCCCCCTCTGTTTTACCGTGTTGTCTCTTCACATGTCTCATTTCAACAAAACTTGTGCTTGTTGCCATATGGTTTACTTTTTTATTGTGTGTAAGCTTGAAGTCTTATGCTTAAGAGTTCTGTAGCATTTTCTGAGCTAAACATCTATATACTGCAATACCTATATTGTAACATTACTCAACCCACATTTATCTTTTAAATAGGTTGTGGTGGTATTTAAACATACTCTTAAATTAAGACTTACAGAGAAAGTAGTGAAGGAGAAGTATCATGTGACATGTGTATACACACAAGTATTAAATGATGCTGAATTAAATTCTGTGTAGACCATGCATCTTAATTAAAGGTGCAAATAACACTATCCCTTTCTGAAGACTGGTACAAAAAGTGTGACTGACCTTACAAAAAGGAGAGGGACAGAATTGATTAGGTCAAAGAGAATGATGGGTAAATGTGAAATTAAAACATTAGTATTTAAGTGTGCAGAATGCTCTTGTGAGTAATTTAAGTTACTGCCACTGAAGGAGAGTACAATACCATTGCTTGACAAATGAATAATGGAATCATAGAAACATTAAGGTTGGAAAAGACCTCTTAGCCTATTGAGTCCAGCCATTAATGATTAAGGTTGGAAAGATCCAAGTCCATTAACAGTATTCTTGCAATATGCCTTCTTAAATTGGCATTTCCAGTTTTAAATGCAGGCTGCCTTGTGTATGGGAGAACTGCCACGAAGGGGAATATAAATGCATTCAGTTGAAAAGTGGGCAGTGAGAGGGCATGTAATGCATCCTGTTTGGAACCTAAAACCAGGGCTGATTCTGAAAGTTGTTTCCATGAATTATCAAGGAGGCAGTTACTAAAATGAACCACAAACAAGCTAGTTCCCTGTACTATATGTGGTAATGCACTACCTTCCAAATGTTAAACTGACAAAAAAAAATGGGAGATTTAGGGGATTAGACAAAAGATTTGGATTGGATTTGCAGCATTCTGAAATCTTAGAAAACAAGATCATAGGAGTGGTTTTCCATTTCCAAGTTTGCCTTTTTTCTGTAAGCCATTAACAATGTGTTTGGATGTCTGGTTAATGCTGCTTTAGCCTGCATTATTTCATGCCTGTTGGCTTAAAATGCTGTGCATTGAGCTGTAATGAGATGCTGTTTTTCTTGTTATCTGTATACAGCTGCTTGCTTCTAAATGACTAGGTAATGAATTAGCTTTTCTGGCATGTTTGAAATAAAGTATTGCATGCACTTTTGTCTCATGTGAATGACTTTTTTCCTCATCTGTGTTCTGATATTTCAAATTTGTTGTTTGCCTTGGGTGATTCTGAGCTACAGGTAGTATATAACACTGCAGAATGTTTTACCTAAGAATTGGATAAAATGTTTTACACTTAGTAAAACAAATAATGTGAACAAAACATAATTCATTCTATTTGTTTCTTAAAGGTAATAATTAATGAATTTATTCTTCTAGCAAAAGACATTAGCCTTTAGGTGTTCCTTGAGATTATATTGTTGATGAGGAAGGCACATCTGTTTCAAGATTACTGCTTTAGTAATAAAAAACATTAAAAGAAATCTGAGTTCTATGGGTGATGTATCTGTGGACCAGTAGCTAATGTCCTTGAAATAGGTTGCTTTTAATGGTTAGCTGGTGACCTTGATTTACTTGAAGAAATGCAGTGTTTAAGTTTATACCTGCTGAAAATCATCTCAGACTTTGAAATGGCAGTGAAAACAACAACACTAAACTGCTCTAAAAACAGTGGCAGCACTGCTCTGCATTTCTTCACAGCTATAAAGAACTTGTTTTCAGGTGACTTTGTAAATATCCTGTTGTACTCCTGTGTAACTCGTAAGTGCCCACTACTGTCTAATCAATTTAAAATTAAAAAATGAATTTATTTCAAATATTTTGAAGACCCTGAAATGCTTGAGAAGTTGTATTCTTGTAGAATGCTCTTCAGTTCTGGTGTCATAGTTAACAGTATAGGATTTCTTGAGTAAAATGCCTTACCTTGGTGGATAGGGGAGGTGTGTGTCTTCCAGAATGAATGCAACAAAGTAATCTGGGAATATAATACAAAGAGTTATATTAGAAATGCTACACAGCCATTTCTTCAGCCAGTGCCTCCTTTTGGGGTTTTGTTAAAATACACATGCAAATCTTTAATCCTGCCATCCTGTCTGGCTTTGTCAAGGTCACTGCAGTTCTAAGAATATTAAATATTGCATCTGTGAGGGAAAAAAAACCAAGCCAGCACTACATCTTTAATACACCAAGCATCTTGTTTTCAGATTTAACTTGCCTTTTATTGCAATTTTTTATTTTCTTCTGGATTTTAGAAGCCATCTCAATATGCCTGTTCCAAGCTCTGACTGATTTTTAATGAAGTTGATTTAAAGTATCATAGCTTGTTCCTTCACTGCTGAATCACCTTATACATGAGCTGAATGATCATAGTAAACTTGATCATTTTGTGCCACATAGTCAAGGCTGATAGAGACAATATTCTGATGTTGTTATTTGCAAGGTTTGAAGTGTTTAATTTTGTGTTTTACCAACACTATTTTTCTAATAAATATTTGCAAAGCAGTTGAAAAATAATTTGTTGGCTGCCTTAACTGTTATCTGCTTTTTTTTCTGCTGCATGACATGTCTTGTTTTAGGATGCTAAAGTAAGTTTATTCATGCTCTTGATGTTAAAGCTTTTTTTTTTGACACGGACACAGTATCCCCCTTCATTTATCATGGCATTGTTAATTGTTATTTTAAAAAAGGCTCAGCCTAACGTTTCTAGTTCAAACAATTTCTTTTCAGATGCTATGGAAGTAATGAATACAAAACTGATGATAATTGTTTGGAATTTGGTATTAAACAACTTTCTCTGAATCTAAGGAAAGCTTTCTAAGATGAGAATTAACTTAAAACTTTATGCCTGGTGTGGAATAATAAAATTCCTGTCATAAAAACTCCTCCCTCTTTGAAAGGGATCAATTTGACACCAGGCATACCAAGGTACTGTGACCTGCTTTTGTTAATTAAAAACATGGGATCACTGTATAAAAAACCAAACCAAAACTCTTTTATAAAGATCTTAAGGGATACTGTATCTTAGTTTCATCTGTAGATTCATTCATCCACTTACTTGTTATTCCTGAACAGATTTTTGAGACCCCCCTGAAACAATTCACCACAAAATTCACTGGTTCCATTGCAAGCTCCTTCCCCATCCTTCCCTAGTTCCTATCTCTCTTATTCACTTGTGATTTGTTCCCTGCTGGTAGATCTAAATTGTTTTATTTTTATTATGCTTAAGGGCAATAAAATCCACCAGCTATTCTTGTGAACCATGGCAATCTAATTAACAGCTCTGTGAAAAGTGCAGCTAATACCATGTTTGCAAACTGCAGTGCTTCCATGTTTTCATGTCTTCAGCTTTCTTTTTCAATTCAGCATCTTCCATACTAACTCATGTACAGCTCTGCTCAGTAGAAACAGTGTTCATTTACTACTGTCTCACATTTTCCCTCCGTAGGAAGCAGAGACCCCACGTAGTGTACTTGAAGAAATTGGATTGACATAAATCTTCTCTTCAGCTGATGCCATCTCAGTGTTTCATACTGTAAATGTTCACTGCCTTCATTGTAATGTTTAGCTAATGGTGTAAGATGCTGTTTGTCAGTATTACTGTTTTGCTAAGCTGCTTCATTCAGGCCTACAAGAAAAATACAAAAATACTTTTTTTTGAAAAGGGAACAAGAAACCTAAGTTCAAAATTTATAAATGAAAGGGAATTAGATTTAAATTGACTCAGTGTTTCCCTTCACTGCATTTATAGGAAAATTGCATTTGACTTCGATAAGCCTACTGTTTTTTATAAGTGAACTTGACTTCAGGAAATAAATGTATTACTATGACATAAGCATAGCCTACCTAAATGAAAAGAATCTACATGGACAACTCCAAATATGAAATGTTCCGGTGTAGAAATTGTGTTTATGCAACCAAAGAATTTGTTCATCTACATTTTAGTCACCACTTGTGATTATTCTGCTTATTTCAGTTGTTGCATAATGATTGGAAATATCTGTTTACTACTGAATTTGTCATTATACCAAAGAATCCTGCCAGGATCTGCATATCAAACTGGTAAAAAACTGTTAAGGTGATAACTGCTTTTTTTAAGAAATCTGATCAACTCACTAGACATGAAGGTGTATTTTAGTGTAACTACCTTGAGCAAAACTGTGCAAGTTACTATACTTCAAAGGGAATGCATGGAGGAGAGAAGGAAAACCAGCCCAGACTGAATAAGGAAACTGTTTTTAGGTCTGATATTAGCTTGCTTTGACCATGAACACAAGGAGGTCAGCTTTCTAACTGAATAGAGAGATGCATAATGAAAACTGAACACTTTGAAAGATGGGAAAGAAGAAGCTTTACAGAAGGGACCTTTTATTATTTTCTCTCAAAGTCTACCAACTAATTTGTATTTTTTGGTGTTTTGTAGTTACGCTTCATTGGGTGTATAGGTACCTTTAGGACACACTAAGTGTCAGTCATTTAACTGCTTTTCTTGATCAACACATTAAACATGTGGTACATCCCTTACAATACTCCTGCGTGATGTAGTTGAACCAACTAATTGGCAGTGAGAGCTCTTAACCATTAGATTTGTATGGGATATTCACTACAAATCATGTGAACTGATATCCAGGAATATTTTGACACTTTGAACAGACTCTCAGTAATTAGGGACTGAGCCTGTTTCACTAGCAGAAATGTGATCCATGTGTGATTTTGAGGGAGACAGTGGCAGTCTACACCTGGGAGTAGCCAAGTTCTGTTTCCTGTCCCCTCCCTCTCCACCCAGACACCTTCCCCTGGGAGTTTTGACTTGTTCACCTGAGTGGTGCCATGTTTTCACAAAGCTCAGCTCTGGCAGTGCTGCTGCAGAGTGGGTTCAGTAGTACCAGCCAAAGGAAAGGTGCAGTGGTGCCACTTGTAAGCCCTGATCCAGACCCCAGCACCAATCCTTGTGACAGCAGAGTGGCCAGCCAGGCCCAGGCTGTGTGTGCCACTCCTGTGGCAGTACCAGCGTGGTGCCTGTGAACTCAAGCCATTAGAACTTGTCTATGGGTGCCCATTCCAGGATTCATACACAGATTCCAGAGACTCTTTTTTGTCCCAGGGCATTTCCCCAGTGCACAGTGGGCAGGGGTAGATGAGGGTAGAGGGGTAGTGAAAGGACCCTGTGTGTGAGATTGTAGTGGTAAAATGGATTTAAGTCAAACCAGAAGCAATTTTATATGTATTAAACATGTTTTTAAAGTTTACACTGTCACTTGTATGTGCTTGGCTGGATTAAGCTTCGTTGTGATTGTGACAAACTGTTTGACCTCTGTCTGTCACATTGGTTTAGTTGTAATAAATGTTCATTTTTACACCATTACTGTGTTTATATGTAATTAGTGCCTGTATTCACAGAGGAAAGAAGAGGCCACTCAGTGCTGGCTTAAAAAAAGGGGAAAGTTTATTACAGTGCTTAACCTGTTCTTGAGCACTTCATTAAAAAATGTTGAGGATACTGTGTCCAAGTTTAGTTATTTACATCCATTTAAATTGTAGAGAAAGCAATAAATTAGCAAGTTTTTGGAAAGCTTGCCACATTAAACATGAAATTTATTTAAGTGGATGTTAAGTTGATGGGGTAGTACCACTTCATTTGAAAATTAAACCACATGTTGAGAGAGATTTCTGGATAATAGAGACTGAATATTCAGTTCTTTTCATAGAATTCTGAACAAGTCAATGCAATGTTTACAATCCTGGTCTTGACCAAAAATACGTCACATGAATCTGTTCTCCACCTTTTTAAAAGAACTGAACTGCTTGATGTTATCAGCAAAAGCATGAGGAAAAATTAACATCTTCAGGCATTTCTGAAATTAATCTGAAATGAAGTTCCAGGTTTTGAATTTCCTGTCTTGTGCAGAAGGGCTGGGGAGAGCTAAAGAAGAAGTAGGAATTTCTGGATTGTTCAGGCAAGTTGATTGTTGTCTTAAATGTCTTCAACTTCACTGACTTAAGTCTTTTACTCGACGAGGCCTTCCTGAAATGTGCTGTTCCTTTTGGGGTGATGAGGCCACAGTGATGCTCACCCTGTGGCTGCCTCTGTCAAGTTCCCATGTACTGGGTTACAGTTGTCCGGCTTGCTTTGCAGTCTGTCCCACAGCTCAACAAAGTCTTACCTGTCCATGCCACATCAGTTTTGGTTTTCAGCCATAGATACCAATTCACCTGATACATCAGTGCTGAGCAGGAGTGTATGTGGAATAAATGAGGTTCATTTTAATTACAAGCTTACAGTGAACGCAAAATGAGCTGCACTCTTTGGATGATGTAAAAAGTAAATTAGGCTTTTAGGTTATTAACTATCATAAACTTCCATCTTTCATGTTTTGTAAGAAGTGCTGATCCAGGACAGGAAGCAATAGCATCTTTTAGCAGGCTCTTGCATGTCTTTAGAAAAAAACCAAGTTATTTAGCGCACAGGAATGTCACTGGTAAACCAGAGGGCAGTTTCAGTACACTGAACGTGCTAATGCAAAACTGGATGCAGAACAGCCATGCTGCCATCACAGGGCATAAAAATGGGAGAGGAGTCACTTGGGATGCATTTTGGACAATGTGCCCTATACACAAGGGCTGGGGCCAGAGAGGGAAGGCCTTGCTGGGTGTCCACAAGAAATGCTTTGCATTCAACACACACACGTGCCTCCCTCCTCAACCCCTGATGGGGGTTTGCTGCTCTGGACAGGCAGACAGGGAATGAAATCCCACAGAAGTGGCCCCCAGCTACAGTTGGAGGGAAGGCTCTGCTGTGAGGGGGCAAGCCCAGCTCCCTGATGCCTTCATTCTGCTGGGCAGCAACAGTGCCCATGCCTACAGGGGCTCCCCTGTGCTGCTGCCTGCCTGGGCTGTTCCTCCTCCACTGAAGGGCAGGGCAGCACCTGCTCCCCATCCTGACTGAAGCAGGGCAGCTGGCAGGCCCTGGCACTGCCCCCCTGAACCTCTGTGTAAATGCCAGAATTACTCCAAAGCACCTCCATGATCCCTGCAGAATTCACAACTGAAAAAGAAGTATTTTGAAATACTGCTACTTTTAAATAGCAGTTGAAGACAAAACAAAACTTGGCCCGTATTAATTCACTTTATAAGGTCCTTTTCTGTGGAATATGCGCAATAACACGCAATGGAAATTTACAAATTTAAATCCTTTCCATGTTCTTCTGGGACTTTTTCCCTTGGGGAAAGAAAATAATTAAGCTTAACATTAAAAAACTTCTAGTCTGTCTCTCCAGAATAAAGCAGCTCACTCAAATAATAAGGAAACACAAAACCATGCATATAACACTACTTAAGATTATGAAGCAGAGAAACAATACTGAAAATTACAAACTCCAGAGTTAGAAAACTGGTGGAATCCCAGGTTTCATGCTAACAAATGCAAGCTAAATGTCAGATCTACAGCACTCAAATTCTGTGTAATAAACAGATGGTGTGTGAAAGTGCAGGGCAATCACAGCTACCAGTCCTACACTGTACAGGTACAGCCAGCACGTTTGGGTCCAGACCTCAAGAAAAACAAGCTGAAGCTTCAGCCATTGTAGTAGCAGAAATAAAGTATATTTAAATTTTTACATGCATTTCTAAGCAAGTTTGGTTTTTTTGTGGTTGGTTTTTTTTTTTGTTTGTTTGTTTTTTTTGTTTTTTGTTTTTTTTTAATACAGCCACTTAGCTTTTCAAATTCTGTTGCAAAACTGTGGGGACAAGGAGCCTAATCACCCGTGGAATTCTCACATGGTTATTACTGGGCACTTAGTTTCTAATCCCATGGAGACTTGGTTTGCTTATTTCACCTGACTGGTCACAGGTTCCCACCACATTTCCTTGAGCTGCACAGCTGATTTTGCTGGGCTAATGCTCTGTGACATCTGTCCGTGTGACACGGGGTGCACAGCGGGGGCACAAGCCAGCTCTCCCACCTGAGAGCTCTGGGAAGCAGGGCAGCCCAGGGAAGGGAGGGTGGAACCAGCCTGTGGTGGCCAACTGAACCAGAGTTTGCTACATGCAGTGCAAGTGACCCAGTGAGACAACTGAGCATCTATAAAAAAACAGAAACCTCAGGGAAAATTTGTCTCTAAGGAGTGATGAGAAAAAGGTACGTTATAAGAAACTGGCAGTAACAAATTTCTCAAATGGAATTAAAAACTTTGTGCTGTCTATCCTTTGAAATATGCCTTTTAAAAAAGTTATTATTTCAAAAGTTATGCTAATTACAATTCCTACATCAGTTAATAAATAAAACATTTAATCAAATTAACTAAGCTACAGCTCTGCCTACAGTTATGACAATATATCGTGGAAGTTGGGTTTGAACTGAACATCACTTTTGTTGCATTACTCCATATTGGACAAGTTACACATGAAGAAAGAAGGAAAAATATATAATCAGCATGCTAGGTGCACTATGCATTTAGAAAAGCAAAAATATATATATAACATCCAGAAGCAATGTTCACTTGATCTTAACTATCCTGGGGAAAAACATTCTTGCTGTGAGGAATGCTGTTGGTAAAGTTCAGATACCTAGATTTTCTAAGGGAGTTAATGTTACACTGCTGGGAATTCTAATGAATTCCTATTTGGGAGCACTTCATGCCTGCTTTAGGCTTCTAACCCTTGGGGTCTGATTGGCTCTCTGAAGGCAGGAGCCCAGTTCTTTGGGGAGGCTAAAGACAGGGAGGTGTCTCTACAGGCCATTACAGCACCTGCACCTTTGGTGCTACAAGCTCTCTCTAAGTGTCTGAGGACACTGAGGTGCCCAAGTTAAAACCTGAAGGTAAACCATGTGAAATACAGTACATCTAACAGCACAAATCTTTTAAATAAAAGTGAAAAAATATTGGTAAGGATTTCTCTAACTGCAGGTACTTTGCTAATATAGCTGTCATTTCAAGGAGGTTTTGTCCCAGTAATTTCATGTTTATGTACCCTACTCTTCACCTTGGCTGTGGGAAAGCAAGGCAGTAGGGTGCCTTAAACTATTTGTAAAATAAACCTCAAAAGGCTCTAAGTCAAGTCCTCCTCTCCCAAAACCATGAAATAGTCTTTCCTGTATAAACCCTTCAGTTTCTTCAGCCACTCTGCAGCCATCTTGACTGAGCCTTCACAGTCACACCTTTGGTTCCCTGATGGACACTTTGCACCCCTCCAGCACAAGTTAGGCAGGTCCTTTTCACCTAAAAATGGTGAGCAACCAAGAGGTATGCAAAGCAGTTCTAACCTCACTCAAGGATTACAGCTGCATGGTCTCCAGTCTTACTTGGGGATTAAGGTACTGAATAAACTGATTGTTTCTCTGTGTACTTTCTTGCTTGGTTTTAGTCTACTGCAATCCCTACAAGCCATCAGCTCAGCAGCTCAGTCAGGGCTGAGAAAAATCCAACACTCGTGACCAAAAAGCTCCTACTGGACCAGTACTGTACAATCAAACACGCATGTCTTTGAGATCCCTTTTCTCCAACTCATAAAACAATTATATTTTCTTTGTCTGGAAAGCAATTTCCAATAAACACGAAAAATACAAATGGCAATCATCTACACAGACCTGGATCTGCAGTGTGCTGGGGTGTGAATTTACTGCACACTGGCTGTTCTGTACTAACTCCTTACAGGAACAGTAAACACTTAACATACACATAACAGAAATAAGCACATACCAAAGAGGCTTCACTTCTCTATTTGCACTCGGTGTGCATCCAGGTGTTGCAGCTGTTCAGAGGGACAGAGTAGCTAGAGTACTTGACATTCACACCTTCTACAGGACTGAAAACTTTAAATTTTCTCAAGCTTCGCACACAGTAAACTACGTTCCTTTATTAGGAAGAAACATTTTAATGTGCAAGAACACTTTATTTGAAATTCATATATATATGGTACCCTATTGGGAAGATTTCTTTTTCAGCTCTATTTTTATCAATTAGTGATTTCTGAAAGTAATTCTCACTTTGTTTTGGGAGTTTCACTATTTTTTCCTCTGCTGCTTGATCTCTTTTTACCCCTGCTCCTGGATCGAGAGGAGCTCCTGCTCCTGCTCCTGCTGCGTGTCCGACTGTGACTCCTGCTGCGGCTCCTGCTGCGGCCTCTCCGCTTCCTGCCCCTGCTGTGGGACCTCCTCCTCTCCCGGCTCCTGGACCGCCCCGAGCGGTGCCGCCTCTTGTTCTTGCGGCGACTCTTTTTCCTCTCCGATTCTCCGTTCCTGCGGTGGGAATGGTCGGGGCTGGGGCTGCCCCTCCTCCTGGAGCGGCTGTAATAGTCGTCACGATGGCTCGAGCGGTTTCTCCTCTCAGAGTTTTTAGACAACTGATGAGTCCGTTCAGGAGAAATACGTATGTCTCTGTTGGCCTCCCAAAACTCGTTGTTTGGATTTTTGAATACGTGAAGAAAGTTGCAGTGTTTCCCTCTTGGACACTTCTGCCTTTCAAATAAACCTGCAACAGATTAGGGTTTGATTTTTTTAACCAGACCTATTAAATCTCTTTCTTCATTATGTACCAACTGGAAGAAATTAAATAAACTCAATTTTGCTTCTCCAAACAGAAGAACATGCATCTGACCACCTATCAATTTAACTCACAAAAGATTAATTTTCGTTGTGTACTTTTCTTTGAATTAGCTTTTTAACAGCTATGAAGATTTGGTTTTAGCTTAGAACAAGCTTAACTTTTTATTTCATTAAGTTTTATTTACCTTAATGTAAGAAGGTAAATAAAGAACATGTTATATTTACTGCTTATAACTGTTGATAGTCCAGAAACTGCCATTGCTTCTCAAGAGATAAACCAGTACTTCTTGGAGTTTCACTTTAAGATTATTATTTCAAAAGCAAGAATCCAAAACTTTTTTCCTAGACCATGGTAAATCCACTAGAATAATTCAGACATGATGTTACACTCCCTTTCTTTCCTGGATCTGCACAAGACATTTGTCTTCCAAACAGAAATGAATACAACATTAGGCAAATCTGAAAGCTACAGCCTAATCCCTCTTTTTCACTTCCATGAGTGAGTATTCTTTCAGTTACACATACTCTCTTTTCCAAGACTCACCACATATGGCAGTTTTCCACCTCGTCACAGGACAGAATTCACAGTGAAGCTGTCTGCCTGCATACCATCGTCCACTGAACAGAGCCAGAGCTGCCTGACAGTCCTTCTCCCTTTAAAAAGGAAAAACAACAGATGGCATGACCATCACACAATCATTTCAGACACCCCTAACCAATTCTGGGTTCCCACTACAGTGTGAGAATGCACTGCATGCACGATACAAACACTTATTACTCATCACTCAGCTCTGGAGTTTAGCTGTAACTCTTGGTAAGACTGTGAGTACTTACGACTGGTACTGGACGTACACATTTCCTCGCAGGTGGGGCTCATAGTTGCAACTGACCTGAGGGGATGGAAACATGAAATTAGGCCAGTGGAAGGTTTATGCTGTACAACAGCTCACACATTCTGAGATGGGCAATTCTCATTTAAGACAGTTCATCCATATCAACTTAGAGATGATGTTTTTCAAAACACTAAGTGCTAATCAAAAAAAAAAACAAAAACCAAAACAGAACAAAACAAACAAACAAACAAAAGCCTTTCTGGCTTATGCTTAAATTATGCTTGGATTAACTCTGAGACCTTGGCTTCACTTAGTCCACAGGAAAGCTTGTACTCCATTGTCTTGTACTAGTCTGGGCCAACCCTACTGTGCAACAGCCAAATCCTGCTCTGACAACAATTATTAGTATCCTCACATGGAAATGAGGGATTCATTACAGTAAGAGACTCTAGAGCAATGTATCTTCACAGCATCCCTTTAAAATGGTTTCAAAAAGCTGATGACACCATTTTTCACTGTACAGTTCTGAAAAACCTTTTTTGTAATAATTTAGCATTCAAAGTAGATCTAAAGCTCTCAAAAATTAACTTTGAAAAAGTTTGCTGCTAGTTACAAAAGATTCCAACAGGCAGGTCCAGGCAGGTGGAACCCAGTTCTCCAGGACAAACTGTGATTCCAGCCTCTGTTGCCTGCAGGCCTCTTCCAATATTTGCAGCAAACAAAGTTAGCGGCTCCTTTCATCCCTGAACCCTGACTGACCCTCAGGGAATACATCTGTGTGTGCTGGATCAGCAAAGGGCTTCAGCCACAATAACAAGCACTTGTATAATTAAGTATTACAGGATAAGGAGTCAAAGTATTTGAGATAAACAGTGTCAATACAAGAACAAGTGAGAATGATTTTGCCATAGACATTTTTGGGTAGGAAAAGAACCCTAGAGTTCTAAGGTAGTGTTTTATCAGGACCTTCCAGATTCTGGAGCAGCTTCCTAGAAAAAACAGCCAGAATAAAAACCTTGGGCTACACTGGCAAAGTAAGTAATCTGACAGAGGGGTGTGTCTAATCTGATTCTAAATGGTCACAGAGGCTCAGCTCACTCACAGTTAAGATCCCTGCAGCCAACATGTTTTTCTGAAGCATCTCTAATGTAGCGAAAATGTGCATGACAATCATCTTGCTGCTGTACAATTGCCTTAGAAGCCAAGGAATGGCACATTAATAGTGACAGGGACCCAAGCAGGTGCAGCTTAGCACACCTGCACAGAACCATGGTACAAAGCCAAGGACCTGACTTTGCTGATAAAGCTTTTCAAGCCATGCTCCATAATGAATCTGCATCCTGTTTGCTAGTAGAGGACAACTGGCTATTATTCCATGACTCAAAATATGGAGGGGATGCTCCACTCCTGCAAACAAGTGAAGATTTCTTGCCTATAAAGCTCATTTTACAACTACTGAAAACTCACTCCTTCTACTTTCCCCTTGCTTGAAATGCTAATGCCATCGCAGTCCTGAGGCAGCTGTCAGTAGATGAACACAAAAGAAGAAAAGGCACTATATGCCTCCTGGTGACTGCAGGAAAACACTCAGGAATGGCAAGCAGAAGGGGATGCTGCAATAGATTCAGATACAAGGAGACTGCACCATCCAAGCTGCATATTTCTGGGGCAACATGGGAGTGTTAGTACACATCATTCATCTCTGAGGTCTCCATTCAGAGATCCCTCTTTGTCCCCATAAGAAACAAATTATAAATGGGAAAAAATCAGTACAAAACACTGAGCAAACCAAATGCACAAACTAAGGATGGATGACAAATCTCAAAACCATTTATGTAACTTACCTTTCTATAATTCTTCCTACTGAAATATCTGCTATCTTTTCAGTTCATTGTAATCTGGTTTTATTTTATTCAGCCAGTCCTAAAATGACATTGTTTGGGTGTACACTCCAAATGCATTTCATACCCCCACTATTTCATTCCTTAGGCCCAAATACAGTAGCTCAGATATATTTATATTGTCTAACAGTCTTAATGGACTCGCTGGGACTTAGCAACATAGAAGCCCAGGCTTCTGTAACACTTGAGATGAATGAGAGAGAAGATTCACCCAGAGTAACATGGTGCTCTGTAAGAGCAGTGACAAGTTTACAGGTGCCATGAGAGATGCACAGTTTGTTGTAAGGACACAGCATAGTGCCCACAGGATTTAGCTGGGGCATGCTGGACAGAATTCCTCGCAAGGCTCATAAACCGCACGCAGATGCCTACCTTGAACTGAACCACCTTCCCCACATTCTGAAATTCGGGGAGCACATCCTCATAGAACTCCAGGAACTGCTGGTAGGTCTCCTCATCACTGTATTCCAGACTGGCATCTGTGTCATAGTCGTCCCTGCGGCACTGCTCCATGCCAAAGGTGATGAACATCCCTCGCACCAGCAGCGTCTTGCTCGATGTGGGGTAGTTGTGCTTGCGGGAACACCTGCACAGGTGCAGTGAAAAAGAAAAGTGGAAAGATTGGCACCTCCAGCAGAAAATACACTTCTTGAAGCTTCAAACATTTGTCATTTTCATTTACAGTTATTATAAAAGAAAATTGATTAGTGGAAGATCAAGATATTTCAATTACTAAACCAAATATTTTGGAGTGAGTTTGTACATAACTTTAGGGGTTCCTTAGTGCCATTAACAAACACATCCTTGCTTAGGAAGGCAGAACTACAAAAGTTATAGATACCAGTGTCACAATGAGAGCTGGGAAGTAATTTCTTTTAGGCTACAAGGGTTAAAGAGTTCCCATTTTCTGAAGGGCTTAAAAGATTGTCAGGAGTCTCTCTAGAAAGAGATTTTAAAGCAAGTCCCTGCTCTTCTTTTTGCAAACTGAAAAACTTATACTGTAGTTGTTTTCATCATATGGGAATGGAAGGTGGGAATGTGGGAAGAACAGCACATTCAGACCTGCACCTGGATGAGTATAAGACTGGTATTTTTCCACTTCCAACAGAAAAAATCCCAAACCAAAACACACAAAAGTAAAAACAACAACAACAAAAACCCACAAAACCATAAATCCACAAACCAAAAAACCTACAAAAATCAAAACCCAAACAAAAAAAAAGATTCTTCTAAATCAGTCATATCTTAATCTGCATCTTCTTGTCAGCCATAAAAGTATTAGATCTCCCTCACCATCCATCATATTCAGGCTACCTTGCTAACATGCTGAAATACAGTTCTCCCCTAGACATCTTTAGATTCAGTAAGAACACAGATGTTCTCCATGCTTATTTCACTGTGCTTTATGAATCCCATTCAATATATCCCCAAGCAACTGGGTCATGCACTCTCCAACACTTTTCTCCTTTTCACGACCAGAAAAACATCCAGACTAGTCTAGTCTCTTTATGTCACTGGGCAGCACAAAAGAACTGCAGGGAGGTCAGGTCTCAAAATGGACAATTACAACTCAGACTTCAGCTAGGAAGTTTTTCTGTACCCAGTCAAATCAGAAATGGACTCTCACCTTCTGGTTGGCCCCTTAGACTTCAAAACACAAACAACAACAACAAAAAAATCCAATCTCCAAACCCAAAACTAAACCAGGAAACAATTAATTTCGTGATTATTGGTTTTTACATTTTAGAAGCTGCCTTCTTTTGCTGTTCAATTTCAATAATAGAACAGAAAATATGAAACCCCCCTAATATTGTCTGCACACAAAATTATATATTCACATGCCAGAAAAAAAGGAACCCCAAGGAAAATGAATGACCCAAGAATCCAATATTACTGCAAAATATTAGGTTTGAATTACTGGGGAAATTGGTAGTAGCAAACTCAGCCAGTTTCAGCTTATTCAGGACATAATGAGCTTTGACAAGATTCAGTAGTTATTTGTTGATAACACTGGCTCTTAGTTTTTCACAACTCCTTTCAACCCATCCTTCCAGTCCTATCCTAGCTGTACCAGTCCTTCAACTTAGAGACAGCACCAGATGTTAAAATGACCAGATTATGAAGGAAGCAGGTATGTGAAGAAAAAGAAGGAAGATTAAAGGGAGGTAGCTGAGATCAATAGGGGTGAAAGAGGAAGGGCAGAATATTATGTTTCTCAGTATTTATTTTGCAAGGGTTATTCATAGTTCAAATGCAAAGTTCAAAGCAAAACTGAGTTTTATGGAATCCATAAATAATCCATGGAAGTTATCTCCATTAAAGATCACTACAAAAAAATACTGCAAAGACTACAAAGACCAAGACATTTGAAAAACATGCTGTCTGCAGTGATATAGCTGGTAAAATTTTTATTATGGAATTCAACACATATTTCAGGATAGAAAAAAAAAGATGTGAACTTGAAGCTTCCATATAGTTGAATTATCTTATAATTATCCACAATATACATCACACTGGAACAAATTACTCCCAGGATAAAGAAAACTACAATAGCTAGACTGCACATGTCTCAGTGATACAAGTGAGTAAAATAACCTTGTAAGTTTTTGCTGAAGATTCATGTAATAAATATCAGAGTCCTTCCCTGCTAAGCTGTTGTTTCTCCTTAGCAGGGAGAAAAAATCAGGGATTCTCAAACCAGAAGCTGCATTTGGGTCATCATTGTTCCTGGTCACCAATGAACATGTACTCCCTAAACTCATTTATACTTCTGTTTCCCTCTACATCCTCTGGGAACAAGTTTGCCATTTGTTTCATAAGAGAAAGCCTTTCCTTTGTCAAAGGTGGTAAACATTCTGAGACACCTGACTAAGTTGCAAATAATCATTCCCACCCTACTCCTGAGTTTGCTGTTCGTTTACCACAGTCCTCTTTCACCTCCCTCTTTGAAAGTAGAGCCTGGACTTGTCAGCCACTTCCACAGAGGTGCTCCTCATCTCTCATCATCCTGATGAGCTTCTCTGTTCTTCCCTTTTACTACACTTCCCTCCTGAGACAGGGGCACCCTGTCAGTGTACCAGAATCACAACTGAATGCATCACACATTCAAATAGCGAGAACTCTGGAAGCTACCTGACAACTTTCCAAGTGTGCAGATTTACCTTAACTTCAGTCCATTTGGGATCTGAACATATGCAAATTAGAAAATATAAAAAATTAGCATCTGACATATCAGACCTGTACTAATAACAGACCATATACATTCTATCAGAATATACCTGTGCATGAGTCTAAGCTAAGGAAAACTCAAGTCTCACCAATGTAACCAGAATGCACCATCAGTGATATGCCATAACAATAAATAGCTCAATTCTAGCCAGACAATTCTCTGCTCTCAGTCCACATCCAAATACACAGAAGTATTTTATGCAGCAAGTTTTCCTCAGTTTGCTTATGACCTAATTAAGTTGCCTCTGTTTTATCTCCCCAACACACTTCTATCCTGGTAAATATTCAATGGATTACCTGTCTCCAAATCGGCAGGAACCTGTTTTAATATAAAATGGGCAATTTGCTCTGTCCTTCTCTGTTCCCAGATTCTCTGGGGGCTCTGGGTTATGCCAACTCACACCATTCTCCAGCTGTGGAAGAAACATTAAAATAGACAAAAGTTAGAAAACAGTAAAGAAACGGAGTGTCAAAAATAAAACTTAATAACTGAATTCACAAGCAGTTATGAGCACTGTTTCTACAAGGCAAGCTAAACCTATTTAAAGCATTGTTTTTCAAAGCTGCCCTGTGCTTTGGGTCTCATTTTATACATCTGTGTCATGGTTTAACCCCAGCCAGCAGCCAAGCCCCAGAGAGCCACTTGCTCACAGCCCCACCAAGTGAGATCAGGGAAAAAATGGAAAGGTAACAGATATAAAACTCATGCATTGAAATAAAGACAGTTTAAGAGGGAAAGCAAAAGCCAGGCAAAAAAGCAAAGCAAACTCAGGAACTAATTCACTGCTTCCCAGGGGAAGAAGGGTGTTCAGCTATCTCCAGGAAAGCAAGGCCCCACCACATGTAACAGTGATGTGGGAGGACAAGCATCATCATGCCAAATGTCTCCCCCTTCTTTCTTCTTCCCCCACTTTATACACTGAGCATGATGTCAGATAGTCTGGAATATCCCTTTGGTCAGCTGGGGTCACCTGTCCTGGCTGTCTCCTCCCAACCAACCATGCACCCTCTGCCTCTTCACCAGTGTGGCAGTATGAGAAGCAGAAAAGACCTTGGAAGAAAAGGTCTGTGTAGGCCCTGCTCAGAAATAACAAAAACATCTCCACATTTTCAACCCTATTTTAAGTGTAAATCCAAAACAAAGCCCCATACTAGCCACCATGAAAAAAATTAATTCTACCCCAGCCAAAACCACCACAACTTGGCAGAGAGAAAGCCAAGACTATTTACTTATTTTTCTCTGCAACAGCCCAAAGCTCACCAAGCTCATTATTATCACTGTTATGTGCATCTAGAAAAGGCTAAAATAAAAGTAACTTGTCAAAGGACAGAATTTTAAAAAATGAGATTCATAGTTAGCACTGGAAGTAAAAGTGTCCATACTGATCATCTTGGGTCATTAAAAATTCTCTAATTCAAAATGGCCTCACCAAATTGCAAGCCTTTAATGACTACAACCAAGACACATATTTTAAAAGGAATTTTCATTTTAACCAAACAATCTGTAAAGCTGACTGGCCTAAGTTCTCATTTTAAATCAACTGAAAATTCTTTTTACTCACAAGCAGCATTTGACCCAGCTACCAATTCTGCTCATGACTTGCAGCCATAATTTTCTATCACCAGAACAGCCCTGTTATGTCAGCAGTAAATGAACCCTGAACTGCTACTCTAATGCAGTCTCTAGCATACCACATTTCTGACTATTCCTTTGCAGACATGACTGCTAATGCATCTTGAGCTCTGGGCAGGCAGCAGTTCAGAGCAGTTTCCTACCCATCTTAGGAAACAGATTCCCTGCCTAAAGAACTGTTTAAACATGATTTGGAACCAAACCTAACGCCAATGTAGCTACGGCAGTCAATAAACAATGGATAACTAGGTTAAAACTTATTTTTCAGATTCATGCAGTGGTTTAAACAGAGCAGGAATTTTCACAAGTTGAACCATATGACAGGGATAAAAATCCAAATTATTCTTTAAGGCAATCTCTAAGAGTCTCATGAAAACTGCAGTTTTCTTTTCTACACACTGCCAGTTTGAGATCCATGCTCTTCCAGGCATCCAAGCAGTCAAGCTTCTCTCTCCCCCACCTTTTTTTCTTTTCATTAAGGATCTGTGCCCTTCTCTACCACTCAATCCTCTTATTTAGAGCCTGACATCTGCTTAAAAAGGCAAGTTTATCTTGCCACCCAGGGCTGACAGATTTATTTAGAATTACAATTCACAAATAAACCATCATGCACAGTGGTTTTTAACAGCACACAGCAGTATTTCCAGGTTCATTTTGACTCAGACCTCCTGAACAGTCATCAGCATGCACAACTGCACTGCCACCAACCAGCCAGAAATATGCTTAATTATGTTCCACCCAGTAAATAATTGTTTACAGCTCATGCAAGCCACTATATATTAAATTTATTCAGGCCATTAGGTTCTGGAGAGCAGATGGACAGCATGCTAGAAGGCAAACACTGGATGGAAATTAAATTACTTTTCAGTTCTTTTTTCAGAAAGTCTCAGAGCATACCTGGCTTTCAGCTTGATCCAGCATCCTCTGCACAGCTGCCTATAAATGGTGCAAACACAGGACTAGTGAAAACCCTGAGGATACACAAAACATCTGGTTTCTTTAGTTAAGAACCTAATTTACAATGCTCAGTGATTATGCATCATGAAAGTGTGATGGGGTTTGCTTTAAAAACAGGAGATTTACTTTGGCTCTGTAGCAATTCAGGTACTACAAAGCTGTTAAAGGATACATCAGACCAGACCCTCATGTAGATGACCTTCTAAACTAAATGATAGACAACAGAGAAGTTTAATTTTCTTTTTTAAAACTATCATTGAACTGCTGATGCTTAAATCTCCTGCTCTAGCACACAGCCTGGTTACAGGTAAGTCCATAATTAGTTGCACAAAATGTTTTAACTTACACATTTATGGAATACACAGAAAAATGCAATGCTTGGTGAGCCTCTGTTAAAGCAAGAGATGTAACTGGTAAGAAACTTAAACACTGTAAGTTAACCATATCTAGCCTTCCAAATACAGGGAAGCAATGAGGATATTCTTTCCCTTCATTTTTCTAAGCGGGCTGAGCATAACAATACAACTCTCCAAAACTGGCTGGACACTGCTTCTAATAAATTGCTCTATGAAGTTCCTAGAAAAAAGATATTTTAATATAATCAGGACAAGAAAATATGCTAGGACTGGAAGAGAATTAATTAAATTTAAAAAGAGCAAATAAAAATTAAAAAATGCAGTTAAAGATGAGGACCTGGTACTGATCACGAAGGATATTAGATAATACCCACCCTAATAAAGAAAAATTAAACAGAACAAACAAAACTCCCTGAACCACACAAACAAAAAAAAAAACACCCCAAAACTAATCCTTCACCCACTCCAAAAAAGCCTCTAATCACCATCACCCATCAAACCAGAAAATCTATTTCTTCATTTTAGGGAGGGAAATTAGTTTTTTTTATTGTATCACTTGTTAGAACTTGAATAAACTGCTGTTTCAAGACACAAGCAAAACCAATTAAACAACTTTCTGCTGCTAAAATGGGTGGCTCTGCTTTTAGCTGGGTAATCAGTTTCCCTCTGGGTGCCTGTCATTGCCCTCTATGAGCCAATTTAACTCACTATCCCTGGAAATAATAACCCAGAAAAACACAAAGCAAAGAATCCAACTACCAAATAAAAGAGAAAGCTGCTTCCATCTAGTTCAGGGACACCAGTTATCCCACTGAGGGCTCGGGCACACCCAGACACAAGGATAGAGGGGAGGATTAAAATCCTGCTGGTTCAACTCTCTCCAAACTGCATCTCAACCCTAAATAAAGGACATGAGCATAATTTTCTCTCCCTACTCTGCAAAGACAGAAATGGACACCTGAACACCAGAGGAAGCAAGACAGGAAATACAATAACTACTGTTCTTTGGCATCCCTCATTCAAGTGCTACATCATCAGTAGCACAACCAACTATTAACTGCACACAGCCAGAGTTGTCTGCTCATGGCTCCTCTCCTGCTGTGGCTATCAGACTCAGCTCCCAGTGAAATGTCCTCACACTGAATTACTGTACAGGAAACCTTACATCCAGGTCACTGAACTTGTAAAACTGAAGATGAATGTATCATTAACAGAAATGTTATCAATGATTTGTATCTTCAGTATCATTTTTATTCCACCCAAGGAGCTCTGAAAAAAGATACGTCCTGTTGGATGAGTCAGGTAAAGAAGAGCTGTAACACATCTTTTGATTAAGAACTGTGTTAAGGAACAGCAGCAATGTACTTCCATGTTCCATGTCCTCTTTGGGCATTTTCTTCAGCACTGACTGTGTTTAACTAGGACATTAAGGAAGGATTATGTTTAATGCATGATGCAGAAAGTGCAGTTATCAGAATCTGCACTAGCACAGCACCTTTGTATTTACCTGACGTAAACAATTACATACTGTGAACAACCAGATGGGTTAACAGGAGTTATACTTCAGTATATGGAGCCCCTGGATGCTCTTCAACACTGAACAATGGCTTAGGAACTTAGAATGGGTTAACTAATGCATTTGCTATTTATAAAAAAATCCCTTTTCAACATGCATAACTGTTGCATCTGATCATGTCACAGGACATACAACATACATATCCTCCCACCACCAGCAATCACCTCTCTCTCTCTCTTCTCCTGTTGCTTCTGCTGTGCCACTTCTCTCTCTTTTCTTTGCTGCTCTTCCCATTCTTCTTTGATCTTCCTCTTTATGACAGAAAAAAAAAAATTAAGGAATAATGCTTTACAATCAAAGTCAAAAGCATCATGTTGCATTACAACTTCTTGACAATTAAGTTTTTATCTAGTCAGAAGCAACTAAATCTGACAAAAGCCCTTTTAAGAGCTGTTGTTTTTTTGTCTTTTCAATTCTGCTTTTCTATACAAAAGAGTGGAGACTCTATGCTTTCAAACCAGCATCAAGAATAATGAAAGTTACTACACTAAGCTACCTTGTTGCCTAGCACAACTCTAAGATTTTGCATCTTTATACCTCTTCTTCCTCTTGACGCTTTCTTGCAGCCTCTTCTTTTTCTTTCTTTAGCTTGAACTCTTCTTGGGCCTTCTCTTCTCTCAGCAACCACTGCTCATGTAGTTTTTGTCTACCAAAGAAACCAGACACCACTCAGACCACCAAGTTAAGGACTACCCATAACTGAAGCAACTGTCATAAAAAAAATTCAATATTGAATTTATTACTTCAATAACTGCAACTTACCTAATGTTATTTAAAAGAGAAATTTCCATAGGAATCATTCAGGCTTCAGAGGAAAGGACTGTGTAGCCTGACATATTCAATAAAGATTGTGTTTCACAGAATATATTTGAACTTTTCAAAGTACTAAAATGGAATTGGTTAAAAACTGTTTATTGCATATATGCCATTTGCTAGATTTCTCACCTTTCTGCCTCAAGTTTTTTTTCTTCCTCTTCTTCCTCCTCTTCTTCTACTTCCTCTTCTTCCTCCTCAGACACAGATTCATCTTTTTCTGCAGCTTCTGATAAAAAAAGCACAATTCAACACATCTACATAACTGCATGCTATGGCCAACACAGATACACAAAATGATATCTTTAAACAAAACCCCCAAAAATCCCCAATCACTTCTAGTCCCACTGACAGTGCCAAACACTTCAGTACCTGAGTCCCTTAGTTTGGCAAGTGCCTGTCGCTTTTTTTTCCTCTTCTCCTTCTTCAGAATAGCTCTGTACTTTTGATGGCTGAGGATGGGAGAACATTGCTTATGTTAAAACAGACAAGCAAATAATTTTTACTGTATACATGCACTTAATTTCCTTCAGCAATACAAAATCCCACAAACTGCCAAATTAACAGGCATTTATATGAAACAGTAACTGCACAGCAGCATGTGATGTGACATCTGATGAAATCTGTAACTCTGTGGCTGTGCTGTTCAGACTTGCACATGGGCAGCAGCAAGAAGACCTGACATGGGGTCTCATCTTCTTTGAGCTCTGCAGTACTCAACATCATCACCAACTCCATGAAATCTCCTTCAGCTCCTGAAACTTGGTCACTAGATAAGGGAGAAAAACTTGGGGATCTCCTACCCTACAATTTTGGTACAACTTTCTGCACATTCTAGTTTTTCTTTTACAGGACATGAAATTTCAAGTTCTTTCTTTTCTCCTTTGTTATTTTCCACATGCAGCAGTCTCAATGCACAGCTAACAAAACACACTCCACAGCCCCCACAGACAATGCTCAGCACTGCTCCTCTGCTACAGAAGCTTGGCCAGACTCCTCCTTGCTTGTCTGACACCTTTGACCAGCTGCCTACAAGCAGCACCACGTTTTCACTATGGTTAAAATGCCTCTAATGTCTAAAAGCCTTTTCACATCAAGCTCTTTTCTGTCAAGTTTCAATCTATCTTTCCTCTTCCTAGCCAGGTGATAGCGAAGAAATAGGAAGGAGGAATCATCTTCTCCTCTTGTCATTGTGCCACAGCAAATGCTGATGGGAGATTAATACCTTCCCGTTTTGGAGTGTGTAATTTTAAAAGATTCCACACGTGTAACTCAGCCAGCCCGAACTTCACCCACATCTCCAGTCCTGTTCAGGATTGCTCACATCCTCACCACCTGCACACCTGTGCGTGCCAAGGGGACACCGCGGTGCTTGTCCCGACAGCAGCGCCTGCCCACACAGATAATGTCACCACCAGGGCCCTCTGCCTCTGCCCCGGCCAGCCTGGCCGCTTCTCACCTCGTGTCCCTGCCTGAAATGGATCGCATCGCTCAGCAGGTGCCTGGGGCTGACAAGCGAGAAGCTCCTCCCCAGTTCCTGGGAACATTTTCTTGAGGCCCAAGGAAGGAAGGGACGGAGGAACTCCCCTTACTCCCGGGCCAGCACAGGAGAGGGGGGCACACGGCTGACGCGCAAGGAGCAGCGGCGCCCAAACTGCTCCAGGACTGGGCTTCGCCTCTGCCTCCAGCCGCAGGACACCGGAGCGAGGCCTGGGCGAACGCCTGCAGACCCCGGCCGGGCAATCCCCCGGCGAGCCCGGCTGCCCTGCCCACGGCCTCGGCGGCGGGGCTGGCCGGGGCTCAGCCCGGGCACGCACATGCCGCTGCCTCCCCGCGCCGCGGCCTCCGCTGTCCCGCACACCTCTCAGTGCCGCCGCTCTCCCGGGCGCGGATCGCTGTCCCGCCCCGCCGCAGCTGGTCCGGGCCGGCACGGAGCCCCGCTCCCCCCGGATCCGGCCGGGAACGGGCCCGGCAGCGCCCCTCGCCCGCGGCTCCGCCGCTCCGGGCCCGCTCGACACCCCCAGCGCTGCCGCCTTCCCGTCCCGAGAAACACCGAGCCCAGTTTCCCCCGTCCCGCCGGGCCACGGCCGCGCGGAGCTGCGCCACTGCCGGGCCCGGCCACGGGGCGGCCTCAGCCGCGGCCGTCGTGCGCTCGGGCGGTCTCGGGCGGTCCCGGCCGGGACGGGGCCGTGACTCTCCGCAGGGACCCGCGGGCCCTCCCCCTTGCCCCAGGGGGTCCCAGCCCCGGTCCGGCCGCGGCCTCACCTCGGCTTCCCCAGGGGGGGCTCGGGCACCAACATGGGCGCCGCCATCTTGCGGGACCGACGGGACGTCACGTGACCCCTCGGCGGAAGGGCGCGCAATCGGTTCCGGCGGCCGCGCGCGGGGCCGGGCGCGCGCCGAGATCCCGGGGCTGAGGGCGGCGCGGCCGGTGCGGGCTGGGGGCAGGGACAGGGACAGGGACAGGGACAGGCGGCACTCAGGGCAGGGGAAGGCGGCACCGGGGGCACGGAAAGGCGGCACCGGGGGCACGGAAAGGCGGCACTGGGGGCACGGAAAGGCGGCACCGGGGGCACGGAAAGGCGGCACTGGGGGCACAGAAAGGCAGCACTGGGGAGCCCGATTTACCGAACTGTCCCAAGGACCGCAAGCGAGGGAGTGCAGAGAACATTCCGTTGTCACGGGATCCCTGAGTGGGTCAGGTTGGAAGGGACCACAGTGGATCATGTGCTCCGAGCTCCCTGCTCAGACAGGGCCATCCCAGGGCACAAAGCTGTGTCCGGACAGTTCCTGAATATCCCCAGTCAGGGACACTCTGCACCTTCTCTGGGCAATCTGTTCCAGTGCTTGGTCACACGCAGTAAAGAACTTCTTGCTCATGTTCAGGTGGAATTTGCTGTGCCCAGTTTCTGCCCGTTGCCTCTTGTCGTATTGCTCGGCACCCCGGGAATATGGTCCACTGCTGGACCCATCCTCTGACACCTCCTTTTTAATGTTACTATGTGATGATGAGGTCTCCTCTCGGTTGTCTCCTCAAGGCTGAACAGGCCCAATTCCCTGAGCCTTTCCTGACTCTGTGCCATGTCCTCAGCCCTGTTGGGTACCTGTGTGCCCGAGCAGTGGTGCCTGAGCTTGCCTGGGGTGCTGCTGCTCATGGCAGTACCGGGCAGTCACTCCCTGCCCACAGCCTGTGCTCTGTGTGGGAGCTGCCTTGGCTGTGTTGGGAGCTGTGTGTGGGAGCAGGGTGTTCAGTGCCTGCCATGAGGGGAGCTTTCAGTGTGTCCCTTGGCTGCTGTGAGCATGGCTGCCCTGCCCCACAGCCTCTCAGAGCTGGGGGAAGCCACAGTTCCAGTCCATTGATCAATTTAGCTCACACTGCTGATGTACTCTCATCATCATCTCTGAGGCATTGTACCTGACCTGATTATAAATGCATTTCATGGCAGGAAACTATTCCACACAGACCCTCCTGGGTGTGATGGGTGGAAATATGCAGGGTGTCAGTAATCAATTCCTCTGTGGCAGGAGTGAGAGATTACACCCTTCAGAGGCAGTGTGCTTGTAGCTATCATTTGGCATGTTTTGCATAGCATTAACAAAGTACATTGTTGATTAAGGTCTAAATTATTCTTCTAAACCACAACGTAGGAGCTTATTTCCTACATCCTGGAGGTAGTGCACTGCAGAAACAGCCAGAGCTGCTGACGGTGAAGCACACCACAGCAGGCTCTGTCAAAATCTGACTAATTGACTGTGCTGTTCATTAACAGCATAATGAGTATCCTCTTTCTTACTCTGAAGCTCAGTGAAGTTATTCAAAGCAAGCATGTGACTGCTGCAGTCAGCAGTTACATTTGCCACTTGACCAATGAATATTCAGACCGTGACCTCTCTGCTGTTACTGAACCATGTGCCAGAACCTAGACTCTCTTAAAATTAAGGAGTTGTCACCAGTAGTACTTCCACTGCTCCCTGTGCAGAACATACATGTAAAGTAACACATAATTTGCTGTTTCTTGGATACAGAAGATGGCAGTATTGGGCATTTAACAACTGATGAACCATTGGCACCCATGAAAGTATTGAAAAAAACAACCAAATGTGTTTCATAATCTTATTTCATTAAGAAATTATAACTATAGCTTTCATCCTCTCATCAACAGGAAATGCCATAATATTAACCTTCCTTTAAGCTATTCATGAGTCAAAATTGAGAAATTCTGTAATTTCTTTCTTTTGGTATGCTCCATTTCATCATGGCATTTTCCCAATGTTCTTGGGGAAGGCACCATCTTAAGCTTTTATATTTCAGCAATTAAAAGTAGATCTCATTTTAAGAAAACACAAAACATAACAGCTATTACCAACATCCAGAATGATTCTGGAAAAAGCTGTCATTCTTTTCAAAACAAGGATACAACATTTGCATTTTTCTCTGTTTTGTTTATTTTGATTAGTTTATACACATATAGCAGATTGGTTTTCAAGTCCAGGTGCAGACTTCCATACAATTTAATTGATAGAGTGTCAGAAAGATAAAGATGTGGCAATTGCAGGCAAGAGTCATTCACATATCCAAAGTCATACTGCATTCCAGTCAGTAGCTGTTATTCCTTACACTGGAATTATAGACCCCAGGCCTTCACAAGCATAGTTTATTTTTGTGGCAACCTTCAGGTTTTGGGACTCGCTCTTCCATATTTTCTACAGAGAAATACTCTTTCATAATCCAGTACCACATGAACCCTCTCATGAGAAGGTCAATAGTGGATGCACAGATTGTACTGTGTGGAACACCAAGAACAGAGAAACTTATCTTACAACTTGTAGTTATGTGCCATCCATGTAGTAACTACCATGCATGTCCCACCTTGCACTGTAAATGTCTGTGTGTCTCTCCAGATGTATCACAGGGCTGTGCATGCACAGTAGAGCAGCTCTGTTTGGAGTGCAGTGACTCTCTTTGGCACACATTTGAACTTCCTTTCCCTGTGGCTCTTCTGGTTTCCATTTCTTGTCTTTTCTGCCATTGTAGAGTAACATAAGCAGATAAGAAGGGTTCACTCTCTTTGTTGTGGGCCCCAGCCCTCTGTGGAAAAAAGAAAGATACATTTGATAAACATACAAATTATGTAAAAATGTCTTCACTGTATTATTTGCCATATGCTCCAGGAGAAGAGTGGCACCTTTCCTCATGGAATTGTACATCTGTTTGTTTTGTTGTTTTTGTTTTTGTTTTTTGGTTTGTTTTTTTTTTTTTTTTTCCTGGATGATGCAAATGGAAATAAGAGAATAGGGGCAGTCAAATGGCAGTCAAATCACTAGCTTGGATTTGTCTGACCCAGAGGATATGTGCTGTGTGGGAGACATCCAGGTTGTGTGGGTTTGGGGTGGGTCAGTTTTCATTGGCACTTCTTGGTGTGTTTGTGTAATAAACGTGAAGATGAAGTGGTGGCAGCAGCACCATCCTCCCACCCCTTCCATGCTGGAAGTCTCTGCTCACTCTCAGTGCCAGCCCCACTGTGGGCTGTCCTTGGTGCTTTCCACTGCAAAGTGCCCTTTCCAAGGTGATAGATGGGAATGCTGGCAAGTGCATCCTTCCCCCACCTGCACTACTGTCTGCAGAGCTAAATGTTCCTCACCCACTGTCTGCTTCTGTGAGCACTGATAAAAACTTGGTGACAGCCAGGTCACTTCTGCCCTGTTACAGTGATGGCTGTGGTGGCAGTCCTCATTCAACACCCTGTTCCCCCATGTCTTCTGGAAGTGACAATGCAGTGTTTGTCATTTCCACTGCACCCAGGGAACTGCACAGCACTGTGCACCACTGCAGTTCGGGTCTGCAGTTCTCCAGGTACATTTCCATGAGTGACTAAAGCTGACAGTCACACATGGGCTCTTTCCTCCTAAGAACTGGACACAACTCTTTGAGACTAAAGATTAACTTCCTCAGAGTTTAAAACTGTTAATTTGTCAAATTTGAAAACTGAGGTTAAGTTTAGCCATAGTTGTTAATTAACTTATACAATAGCTATCAATATTTTACTTCCCTGGGATTTTCCATTTCAAAGACATTGAAAGGAGCAGAAAAAGTACATTGCTAATCACATGGAGAAGATTGAGGGGATTTGTTTGTTTGTTTACCAAGTCATATGCTTTCTTGACTTTGCAATAAATTTCTCCTGATTTGTTCAGGAGTCCAAATTTTGATGTATTTTTAAATATGTACATACAGATTATACATGAACTTTTGTAGATCAAAAGCACTGAAAAAAAATTTACAGAGATACTCTTTATTTTCAACCAGGCAGGCAAGTTAATTTGGTACAATAGGAGAAATAATTCTTTGCACTAGTTCAGTGATATTTCTGGAATGCAGACCATGCATGAAATTCTTCATGGCTATGACCTGTAGCTCCACAGTAGTTAGGAAAAGCAAAGATAATATAAAAGAGGAACTGCTTAGAAATCTAACACCTCACAAAGTAGTCAGTTAAAAACATGCATTGCATATGTGCCTGAAGATTGTAATTTATTCAAACAAACTGATGCCTGACTAATTAATCAGTGGCAAACAAATGCAGACATGCTTAAACAGTGCTGTGTATCTGGCCAAAATGGAAGGAGAATCTGGGCAGAAAGTTATCAATGCATGTAGATTTATTACAGAGATACAAAGTGGCAGAATGTCTGTCTGTCCTTTTAGATTATACAGATATACTCCATTTATAAACTGAAAAGTTGCAGTGCTTTTTAAGACACTATTTAAAAATACCATTAATTTGAAGCAAAGTTATCTTCCTGCTAACACCTGGTGTGTTCTTGCATGTCCACCTGGCTTATTTAAAAACTGTGCTGGCTTTGGGAAAAGATTTATAGATGTGTAGCAATTGGTAGATTATGTGCAGCACTCTGTGCACGTACAATTGGATATGCACGTGGGCCTTCAGCTGGATGCATTTGGCACACATCCACGTTGCTGTGCACATATATATCAACTGCATGATGCTCTCCCTGTGAGCTCTGAGCTGGGGTGTTTATCACACTGCATCTTCTCCTGGCCTCCTCCCCTCTCTGCTGGAAAAAATAATTTTTCTTGCTTCTTGCCAGCAAGACAAATTGGGGAAAATCAGCCATCCTGGCTGGAATTCAGCAGCTCTGATCAGGGAATCCAGTCATGTTCTCTGAGTTTGTTCCTGCTGAGTGTCATGTCCCTTTGCTGTACTTTGACACTGGCCCCATGCAATTCTGAGGGGAAGAACTGATTTGTGATGTTTTACAGCAGGGGAAAGTGGTGATGCTGTGGTGTATCACACTCAGTTCCATTTGACTTCTGGCAGCAGGGAAAGGGTGCTCGACTTTTTTTCGCTCTTCCCGAGTTCTTCAGTGTTTCCCCTAAAGATACAAAAAAGTTCATGTGTTTGCTATTGAAGCAATGCACGTGAATTCACCATGAAACTGACTGCATTCACATTCTTTAAAGATTTTTCTAAGTTACAAATGCTACAGGAACCTGATAGTCCTTCATATATCTGTACATTTTTCAGTGTGCTCCTTTTGATGTGCATTTACACAGCATGTTAATTTAAGCTGTCATTAGAAATGAATGCATCACTTTTTTGTTTTCATAGGCATAGATTGAACATCTGAGCAGATAATGTATCCAATACTTTTGTATCCAGACTGGGCTGCCTAGTGAGAGCAAAGAGGTGCCTGGGAATCAGCTTGGTGAATGACTTTTAAAGATGGTCTATCAAGTCCTTTAACAGTGGCCTCTAAAACCAGTTTAAATTAGTGAAGCAGTAAGTTCTGTGCTACCCAAAAGTCTGAGTATCTAATGCAGTAAATACTGGTTATTGTTTTTCATAAATTCAGCCCACAGTTCAGTCAGATTTTTGTACTGTTTGTCATTCATGTGAAGCTTTTTGGGTTTGCAGTCTCAAGACACTTCTTGGTGCTAAAGGACCAACTGAAAGTAATTCTGAAGTGATCTTCAAGGTAGGACCTAACCATTAATCAGAGTGGCTACAGGGGGAATAGAGCAACATAATGAAATAAAGAAATCCTGTCTTGCTGCCTAGATTGCAGACACTGTTCAAATACCTGCAATACATTTCAGTTTCTGAATTCTTTTTCTTCCACATTTATTTATTTGTCTTGGTAAACATTTGATTAATAGTGCAGAATGCATTAAAATATTTCCACATGTGTGTGTACACATATACACAGTGGGTCATGTCTATAAAACAAAAATACATTCCTTTTCAACATGCTTCCTACTAAGTCCTTTATTGCACCTTTGCTTATTCTAGTTGCTACCATTATAAGCCTCTGACAGGAAAAAAGTATTTCTCCCTGCATGTAACAGTTCTTTTCATGCAAAGCAATGCCTCAGATGTAAAGTGGTTTGTGTAGAACAAGGCATTTGCTCTGCTGGGCTTGAGCAAGGACACAGGAGTGGGGCTGGGGTGGGGATAGGGGGACACGGCGCTGTGCCCATCAGGCTGGCCCTTCCCAAGGGCTGTGAGTTCCAGGGAAAGTGGGAGGCAATGCCTGAGCCCTGTTTTTTGGGTCCAGGTATTCTATATTCATCACACATTTCTTTTGGTGAGGTGAAAAGGGTGCCCAGTCTTCCTTTATCCTCAAGGACCCTCAGTGGGGCCAGACAGTTTCCCTGGAAGACAGGTGGCAGCTTCTTTTGGGATCTAGTGGCAGCCAAGCTTCAGATTCACCTGCTGTGGGTAGCAGTTGCCAGATGCTCTGGTGTGATGTGCCACAGACACTTTGTGTGTCTGACACTACGCCTGTGAGAAAAAAAGATTGGCCTGGAACTCTCTGTAAAATGTTGTATTTTTCTAAAAAGGAATAAGGAAAATTAAATACTTGTTGCAGTTTTTTGGTTTTGTTGGTTTTGATTTTTTTTTACTACAGAGAAAGGTAGTAAATAACTAACAGACGCCAGTTGTTTCTAGTGCCTGTTTTTAGCTAAAATAACGGGGGTTAATTATTAAACCTTTTACTTGGTTGCTCACTTGGGCTCCTGATGCTTTAATCCTGGGTCACACAAAGTTTAAGAGTGCTTTACAGGGGAGACTCACTTCTTTTTGCCTCAACCTTTCCATGCTGACGGGATGTTACGGGCTTTGCTGCTTATACTTTCTGTAGTTGCCATTGCTCATGCTGAGCTCTGCAAACCAGGTAAGATTTGGAGCTGATTCCCATCTTTCTTTAGGTAAAGTAGCTATCAGTTTAGACTACAAAGCTGCCAGCTTCTATGAATTTTATTTTAACTGGTTGTCTTCAGTTTGAAGATGGAAATGCTGACCATTCACTTATTTTATGAGTTTGCAAATTAAGTATGGAAGTTGGTCGCACTTCAAGAGGTCATTGTAAACCTCATTAAGAGTCTCTTGGACTTTTTTCATACAAGTAATTTCTCCTAAACCTGTGATTTCTTAAGATGCATTTAGAAACTTACATTTGTGAAATAATCAGGGAAGTAAATTATTTAAAATCCTATTTTGAGTGACTACCAATATATGTTTGCTTTTTTCTCTTTTGTCAGATGCACAGAATGCTTTCAAAGTACGGATTAGTATCAAAACAGCTTTGGGAGATAATGCAGTAAGTAAAATATTTTCACATATTCTTCCTAACTCAATATCTGCCAAAACAGAAGTACTGTATACTATAAAATTTGTGAATGCAATGCAAGCAATTTATTCTGCAATGTTAATTGTAATAGTTTGCTCAAGTAATGATCCAGGCCTCCGTTTCTTGACATTTGACTAGCCCACTCCTTAAAATGTCATCCTTTAGGAGAAATATAAAGCTTGTTTGTCCATAAAGGTAATTTAATGGTCAAAGATTTTTTTTCCTGTGGAAAAGCAGTAGGGATGTTACACTTTATACATGAGAAGTGCTGCATAAATGTAAGTCTGTATTTTGGGAAGGGCACTTCTGCTTGGGAGTGCTAATTGTAAAGTCAAGCATGTCTCTGAAGAGAAGCAGGAAAAGATTTTTAGGTCTTTATGAAATGGGACTTTATATCAGGCTCTCAGACAAGCATTAACTGTAGAGATCATTCAAGCATGTCTCATCAATTCCCTGCTAATGGAGGGCTTCAGATAGTGGCCTTTCTTCTCTGCCTGTGGTGCACAGGCTTGTCTCATGAAATGCTTTGGCTTGATTCAGATCTTTGGGCTTAATGTAGAAATACTGGTGTGAGCAAAGAGAGCTACGTGAGAGATTGGGACATTAGATGACTGAGTGGTCCTTCCTGATCTAAAGCACTATTTAATATGTCAGAGCCCAGTATTTTGTTAGTAGTTTTGAATACTTAGAGCAAATCTACAGCATGTTAACAGGGCTCAGCAGGAAATTAGGTATGAAACATCCTGGACAGTCATGTGCACTGTAAGTCTGGTGTCTGATCATGTTATGAGCCCTAGGAAACAAAAAGCAGTAGGTTACATGTTTTGAAAGACTGGTGATATGAGAAACTCTCTGTGACTGGAAAAGCTGTTCTAAAATTACCCTGAAAGATCAGGTAATTTAAACTAACATTAGCAGGGACCAAAATTTCACTGGTAATTTTATAACCCAAAGTACAAAGAAATATTCAAGATACCTGCTAAAGTAAATGTCTCAAAATTCACAGTGAAGTCAACTCTCTTGAGTGGGAGACTTTAATTAAACAGTAGTGTGAGCCTAGGTTTTTTTTTTTATTATTAAAAATAGAGTAATACTATGGCTGAAAATATGTCAAAATAATTATTAAAGCTCCTCTTGATGATAAGTGCTAATATTTTGATTTAATCTTGGTTCAACATAGTAACAAAGAACAAAAATTGCTGTTCCTGGTAATGTCCTTTTTTAGTGCCTTTTTCTTTTCCAGCTGTAGTCAAATAAGGGGAGGTTGTTTGATCATTTATAATTTTTTTTGGTTTTCACTCAAAAAGGATATGAGACAAATCATTACCCTTGAAGGCAGTTTGTATTGCTGGGAAAAAAAGCCATAACTGAGGAGTCTATTGTTTTTTTGTAGTTGTTTATGTCATAGAACAAAGTGTGTGAAAGCTCAAAGAATGGGGCCGTCAAGAATAGCATTTTAGAGCAACAGCTTGCTGAAAGTGGTATAATGCTATGGAAAATCATCCACAAACAATAAAAAATTTATTAAGTACACAGGAGGTAGTAGTTCCTTTTCATAGCCATTGCAGTCTTCTCTGTGAATGACTGAAATCGAAAAATGAAACTACTATGAAACCGAAATTCATTTCATTAAAGATTTTGGGGCACTTTACTTCTTTGTGCTGTTTATTTTGGCAAAGAAAAGTGTAATACTGTCATTGTGTCACAGCAGGACATGGTCAGCTTGGTTCATTTCCAGGTCACTTGAAGCTCCATGACAATGGAAAGCCAAGATGTTGTGGGAATTTTTCTCTAGAAGTGGCAGGATAACTCCAGTGTACATTCAGGGGCATAGGAAAGAGGTTGGTGCAGGTTTTCTCATGGTATAGTGCATGCCATCCCCTGTGTGTGAGACTGATGAAAACAGGACACCATTTTTTGATTTGTTCACCAGGTAAGCTGTACTCTGAGGCAGGGAGTTCCATTTGGTGTATTTATTTAGTTCTTATCACAATGGAGCTGGAAAGACCAGCTCTGATGCAGTAGGTATTCACCTGTTATCATTTTATTTGCCAATAATGGGTGTACTTGACAGAGGTGTTGTTTGCTGATCTGTGGGAGGAAACACAGTGCCTGTAGGCCTAAATGGAAGGTGATTTATGAGACTCTCAGAATGGTTTTGACTTTTTGAGTGGCTTCTGGAATAGCTTCTAGTCACTAGTTGTATTCTGTTCATGGAGCCAGCAGAGGGGTAGAGAGTTAATTCAAAAGGGACAGAGGCAACTAGAGAGTGAGAGAAAGTGATGGGCACTCACAAGTCTGTGTAACTTGCTGTCATCACTCGTTTTCACCATAAGAGTCAAAGAGTTTGCACTTCAGGGCTGCAGCCAGCTGAACTAGACAGTGCACTTCCCTTCTGGCTCACATGTTCAGGCTGCTTCCAGGGCAGAGGAGGAAGAGGAGGAAGGCTGACATACACCTTGTGTTTTGCCACCAGATGGGATCCAGAAATGTGTTTGTATGTCTGCAGCCACTCTGCAGTCTGAATGGCACAGAATCATTCAGGAGGGAAGAGATCTTGGATGGTCCCAAGTCCTCACGTGCTCAAAGCCAGGTCAACACTGAAATCAGTCCAGGTTGCTCGGTGCAATTTTGTAATATTATATTCTTATATCTTAAATTTTGTCTTTTACAGCATTATTACAGCATTTCACCCCATCAGCAACCTATACTCATCATCTTTCATGCATTATCTCATCATCTTCTTCATTCAGTAAGAGGCATTTAAGACTGCCTTTCACAGTTAGCTGTGTCCAATTCTGCTCCTCCTTAACTTATAAAGGATGGCAAGTGCAACTGAGCCAGTGTTTTTGTGTTGGTTCCTTTGTAGCACAACAAACATGGTAAATTTAACAGTTCTGATACCATCATGTAGTGTTTCATTGATAACAGTTATGTTTACAGCATGTGGTTCCAAATTATATTTAAATATGGTTGCAAATGATATTTAATGTTTCCTCTAGAGTAGCAGAAAGTGTGCATCAATATCTGAAGTGCACAGGGACATCCTCAGTCATCAGCTGTGCTCCAGGCCTTTGCATTTGGAGGATAAAGATGAAGCTGAGAAAGCCCCGTAGTAGAATGAATCAGTTCTAGTGGAGGGTGTCCCTGCCCATGGCAGGGGGGGTGGAACTAGATGATCTTCAGAGTCCCTTCCAATCCAAATCATTCAAGGTTTCTTTGCACCTCTGACTAGAGAAAGCTGCTGTTTAGAAACAGTTTTCTGAAATTCACGCCCACCTGTCCTGAGTTCATACAGTTTGTTAGCTTTAAGTTGTTCTTGCCTTACTTTTCCTTCTCATTATGCTGCCTCTCCCTTGTGTATTCCTGTATGCAGTCATGTACAGAGGTTCTTGTTCACCTGGACCCCACAGCCATGTCCATCTCCTCTACTTCCTGTTTAGTCTGCATTTTCTCAGGCCTTCTTGCCCTTCTGCCCAGAAGGTTGTCTGCAATATCTTCTCCTGGCTCAGGCAGACCCTTGATTTCTGCTGAGCTTTCTCTGCCAGTCTCCTCCCCCTCTTTCTCACAGTTTTCTGTTTATTCTGTCTCTTTTCCTACTCTTAGAGTGCCTACTCTTTCAACTGGGCCTGGAATTCCTCATTAGAAATTATCTTCCCTGATTTGAGATATCCTTTTTGTTACTCTGACTTAAAGAAGTGCTAGGCTGCTGCATTATTTATGAGAGCTGTGACAAATTGTGCATGTATATATGCATTGCACTAAACATAAACATACTGAGTCCATGCACTTGGTAGTGCTGCATTGTATTTGTGTCCACGTGAGCATGAAATGGAGTGTGCTTCATCATTATCTATTTTCAAGACAACTGATTAAATTATCTCTACAGCTGGTTTAATTCACTGCCTAACAAATGACGTCTTTTCTGTCCTTTTGGACCTGTTCTCAAAGACTGCAGATGGCATGTGGGGATTCAGTCAATAATGCCACACAGAGAAAAACCAGATCTTCCCTTTTAGTAATGCAAATTGTGCTTCATGGTTTAAATACAGATATCTTTAAAATGATGATAAATAGTTCTGTAGCTCCAATCTGTATTAATTCCTTTACTACACAATCTCTTTCAGTACTAGTTGCTCTCATTACTGTCACATTTTCATCAGTGCAGTGGGATCAAAACACATACTTTTATAACTTTTTTCCAAGGAGTTTCTCTCTGTTTTTTTTTTTTTTTTCAATTTTAGTTCCCAGGTTGGCAAGCATTGTCACAGTGTGCTCACAACCACCTTCATTCACAAGGCAGGAGTGGTGAGTCAGAGCCCAGGTTCTCAGCAGTGCAGCTGCACTTTGGTGCTGCTCAAGTTGTCTGCTGCCTCAGCTTTGGTGTCCCTCCTATCTCATCTCAGAGAGCCCATTTCACTCAACATTTATCTAGGGATGAGAAATAAGATCACTTTCTACCATTTAAATTTACCCTTTAAATTACTCCATCCTTCCCTGTTCAGTTTCCCAGGATGCCAGTACAAGATGAGGGTTGCAGGTACCTGAAAGTTGGATTCTCTTTTTTTTTTTTTTACGGAGAGGTTGCATCTCCATGCGCCTAAAATCAGAATTTAAAAAACCAGAATTAAGATTTGGAATTTTCAATGCTATCTACTGCTTTTTGGTGTGCATTGCTGTTTTTTGAATGTGTTATAAAGGACCATAAAAAGTAGGTCCAAGTTGAGAACAGAGCTAAGTGTCCACACCACTGGGTTTCTGGTTTGGGTGATTACAGAGCAGATTTTTTTAATGCTGAAAGTTAAAGATTAGATTTGTGTTCTGACTGACTGAAGAAAGCTGTTTCTAACTTCCCTTAATATAATTCCAAGAAACTAATAATCTTTGTAATCTGCTGAAAGGGGAAGAAATTTAATCAGTATGCCTCAGTCATGGCTCCTGTTATAAGAATGTAATAGATGCAGTTCTTACAGGTCATTAGAATTGCATATGTGAGTGAAAGCCCAGGGGAACCCAGTGAAGCTGTCCCAGAAAACTTAAATTATGAAAGCATAATTTTTCATCAAGACAACAGAGAACAGTTTTTGGAGCCTATATTCTTCTTCTTATTGAGGTAGTAAGGATGCTATTTTTTCTCTTTTATCTCACATGCAGTATAATAATCTTTAATATATTTGAGTCTTCTTATAATCAGGACAGTGTGCAGCAATAAGGCTGCAATCTCAGCTTATTTCCTGGTGTCCTAATGTCCAACTCCCAGAGACCACCTTAAACAATGGTTTTTTATTATTATTTTCAGCCAGAGACAAATAGTTTTAGAGGGTGGATTTAAACCTTTTACTTTAACTCAGTTTCTCCAGCAAAAGAGGCAAGGCTACGAGTGCAGTTGTGTGGGGAGAATTCTAATAATATGTCTAGTCTTTGGTAGAATAAACTTTACATCTCCAGTTTGGTCAGCTTTCAGAAATATTCAGTTAATTCAATTTTTGGAAACATACCTTGCAGTTTATATTATTTATATTACAGGCTCTATTACACTTTTTTTTCCATTAGAAAAAGTCCTTTGTCCTCACTAAATAATGGGCATTCATTTTCTTAGCACAACCAGAGAATTTATTCATTTTCTTGATCAATACAGCATTTCAAGTTCAGCGACTCTTTTCCCTCTGTGTACTGCCAGCACTGGTGCTGAAACTAATTATTTTTCATCTCCCTTTACAGTATGCCTGGGATGCTAATGAAGAGTACCTCTTCAAAGCAATGGTGGCTTTTGCAATGAGAAGATATTCCAGCAAGAGCACAACTCAGTAAGCATCTGCTTGGATTTGCCTTATACATATTAACAATGCTGCATGTAGTGACCTGTCCTCTGCTGTACTGAGCTGTAGAAATCATTATATAGAGATTCTAAAAGCAGGCTGTTCCACTGTACCTCTGACACCCAGTTACATATTCAACATCACACTGTCTCCATTTCAACAATGTTCAGTCTTTGAACCAGTGTCCCTGTGGATCTCAGTGGGATGGTGCCAGTTCACTTTCAGCAGAATGCAGCGGGAAGATTTGGCACCTTCTGGAGACCATCCTGAGGGGAGGTGAAGGGACACCCTGGGAGGTCAGGAAAGGCAGCACAGATCTCTGAGGGAGCAGCTCTGGTGCATCCGTCCTTAGAGCTCAGCTTCAGCAGTGTGCTGGAGATGAGCTGACTCAGAGCCCTGGGAGGTGGATAGCTGTGCCAGTGCTGTGCTCTGCATTCCTATCCCTGATATCACAGCAGCTGAGTTTCCTACCATCACCAAGTCTCAGATGTTGTAGTGTAGATAGAAATCAGCCTTTAATTGGTTTTGGGATTAAATCTACCCTGAGGTATTGAATGTTCTTTGCTGGTTTCTGATCCTTGCTACTCTATGAAATTAGATACCAGATTAGACAGAGCACTTAGCAAGCTGTATTCTCAGGATGTTCTTATCTTTCTTAAAAGAAAAACCTTGTAAGTGCATTTCCATAGGCCTATTTTTTTTTCATTGTTTTTCAATCTGAAATGAAAGATTGACAGTTCTGGTAGGCTAACAAGGATAAGGTTTTCAATTTACTTAAAAATAAAACTACTTCAGGCTGTCATTGCATCAGGTGAAGCATATTCCACATTTGAAAAGATATTTGTTAACTTTAGTTTCATGATGATTATTGGGGCTGCTGCCTTTCTCTTAAATAAAAGGGCATTTCCCCCTCCATGTGACAGGAGTGTTTTATTCCTGCTGTTTCATTTTTATTCCTCAGAGGTGGCCTCCTGTGAGCAAAAGAGGTGTTACATCAAGCTTAACAAAAACAGCCAAGTGTGCTACTCAACCCAATTAAAATGGCACTTAAAAAAATTAGTTCAAGATACAAGCTAATTACAGATGATTATGTAGGACTTTTCTCAGATTTTCAAGGCAGCAGAGTTTTCATTCAGCATCTGCTCCATAAAGGTTCACTTTTGTATACTTATTTTAGTCCTGGGTCCTTTTTTAAAATTATTCTCTTCCTTTAAAGTCATGCTGCTTTCACACAGCAAAAACCTGTGTCAGAAGCAAGTGATCTTTTTTCTCTTCAAGCACTGTGGTTTTCTGCAGATTAAAGTAAGGTTGCTGCAGGAATGGGAAAAAATCTAGCCAGTATGGAAGGAGTAGAAGTTTTAATGGCAGTTATCTGTAGCCACTCTGGGCAATCATAGAATTTATACTAATTAATTCAGTTCCTATCTAGAGAGCTTTTCCTAGGGACAAATATGATGATGCCAGTGTTACTCCAGTTTGGAGGTGGTGTTGCATACATCAATATTCCCTGCTACTAAGTTGATCAGAGAAGTCAGTATAATATTTGGAATCAGCCAGCTGTGGGGATCTTTACTCTTTTTAGGATGGTATCTGACTTTCTCTTGGGGTATAAACTTGGGTGCACCCCTCATGGGGTATATATTGGAGTTATAACTGATAACTCATGTAGGACTTAGAGACACCTTTGGGGTCATTATAGACAGCATGTCACCTGCAGGAGAGCTCTGAGATCTGACACAACTTCCTGGGCAACAGGCTGAAGTGTCTCCTATGCACAGATCTCTCTCAAATCCCAAGGGACCTCAGAGTCCCTGTTTAGTGATGGAGAGGCTGGATTAACCTCCCAGTACACCTCAAATAATATCCCTGTTACATGGGAGCAGGAAGGCTGTGAAAGCTTCCATCCTGTTAGATGGAAATAAAGACTCCTTTCCCCACCCTTGGGGCTGGCAGCTGGAAGGAGGGAGTGCAGTCCTGCTCCATCCCCTCTGCAGTGGGCATGGAGGTATGGGAGCAGCCAGAGGGAACAGCAGATGCTGTACACAGGAACAGCGCCCTGGCAGAGCTGGTGAGGACACTTCACTGTGGTGAAGAGAGAGGCACAAGCAGGAGCTTGTAGCAAATAAATTACATTGCACTGCTGGCAAATAAATTGCATTTCACTACAGGAGCTTTTGTAGGAAAATGTCAACAGATTTTCTTCAGGAGATGTAAAAGACCAAAGACCAATTATTCTGTCATATAAGGACAAACAAATTGCCTGTGATTGCATTCTGGTAGCATCTAAACTTAAGGAAATTTTGCATCTGGTTAATTGAAGTTTTTTTCAAAATAAAACCTATGAAAAAGATCACTGTTATTTTATGTAACTAAATACTGGTTCTGCCAGGGTGTAAATTATGCATGTGGCCATAGCCAGGATGTGACAGACCTCTGCTTTAAAATCCCATTTATTTCTAACACACCCACAGCCTTGAAGTAACTCACAGCCACAACTAACTTCCACATGTGACACAAATGCCATTAATTTCAGCAAACTATATCAAGCCCCAGAATAATTTGTCTGGTGGATCAGGATAACCATTGTTGCAGTCTGCCCCATAATTTCTGATATTTGAAGTCACCTCTTGTTAGGTTTCTGAAGGTGGATAAAAGCCAGGCTGTGGTGACAAGCATTTCAATGTGAGGCTGCAAACAGCAGCTGATGCTGTGGCTGCCCTTGTGCAACCACTGAATGACCCAGCACAGAATGGGGAGGATTGCACGTTACATCTCGAGCTCTCTAAAGTTAATTTCCAAACTGAAATTTAATAAAGCATGGAGCAGTGTTTAATGTTTGAAAGGCCTGTCAAATTTTCAAGTTTGCACAAAACAGAAGAAAGGTATAATCAATCACATTACTCAATAGCTATTAATAGAGTTACAAATAAATATTTCTTTTTCAGTGGAGAATTAATACCCCATTATTTCCTGCTTTATAGATGGCCTTTCAATTGATTCTTAATTCACATGGTCATGAACTACATAAGGCAACCTTTGATCTCCCAGTGTTAAAAAATTATTGTTGTAGCCTGTGTTAGCAACCCTGGTTTCTCTAATCTGTGACTCATTTGAAATAATATGCATCTCTTTTGGGCCTGAGACTAGTTAATCTTTAGAGCAGAAAGAATGTCAACACATTTGTTTTCATTCAAATAACAGACTCTACTTTTGGTATATCTTTCTCCCATTTATAGATAAAAACCCCTGAAATTTTCCTTATGAAGTGATCAGGAAAAAAATTCATCTACCTTGTCCATCTTCCTAAGACAGGCTATTTTTTGCTACTAAAAATATTGTGACCATTTAGAACAACAAAATAAAGAGTCTGGAGTAAAGCTGTTACATCAAAGTAATCCCATGGCTGCTGGGAGGAAAATAATGTTCCTTTGCAGAAGCAGCTGCAGAGGCCTGTGTTGGAAGAGGTGTGATGCTTTTGGGAGAGCTGGAGATAGGCACTCGGGACTTGGGGACTGTGGTTCTTCCATGAGCTAACAGCCATTCTGGGCACTCAGCTCGCTTCGACTCTCTGACAGCTCTTTCTTACCCCCAAGCAATCATTTAAATCTCCATAAGGAGCAATGGTGGTGTTTCAGGCCAAGGAATTGCCAGGGTTTCCTACACTCTACTCACTGTGTATCAAAGGAAATGCAATTTTGGATTTTTGCCATGGTGTCATAAGGCCAAACCAGGATTTTGTCATTTTGATGATAACAGTCTACTATAATCCCATGTCAAAAGTCCATCAACTGCTAAGGAAAGGAAAAATGTCCACATATATATTTACAAATACATCTGATTAGTGCCTGGAGAAGCCAGGTTTCTCAGATCTATACAGTGTGGTGGCATAGTTGCAATGGTTCTCATTTTTTCCTAGGTTCTCTGGTTTTCCTCCCATGCCATTTGCTTGCAGGTTTGATTTGTGAATCAAACCTGCAAGCAAATGGCATGGGAGAAAAAAGAGTGCACCACTGCACAGAAATTGCCACATTGGTGGTGCTTGTTGAACCAGTCTGTTTTGGTGTTTACTCATTCCTTTTGAGCTTCTCATGAATGGGATTATTCTCTTTGGGGCCTGGAAGGGTTTATGGCATTTGTATTCCCCTGATGAAAAAGTGGTAGGGGTGAAACCAGAGTTTGGGTGCTTGTAATTGAGAAGGATTTTAGAAAGAACAGGGAAAAGAAAAGAAGCCAAATTTACATATCCTAGTGCAATCCTTGCTGCCCCTTGTTTCAGTGCTGATTGTTCTTCAGAGAGATGCTACCCCTGTGGCAACTGAATGCTTTGTCTCAGGCTAAAAACCGTGGCACTTTAGGGGAGACCCTGGCTTGAAGAGTCTGGGTGTTCTGCCAGTCCTTCGCTGCCTTTATCTGTCTCTTTGGGGATCAATATTTCTTACCCCATTTGAAGAACATCTGTAGGGCAACACCAGCTCAGATTTTCTACCTGGCCTGCTTTTTGATTGCACCACAGAAGCTGCAGCTTTAGGAACTTTGGCAACACGAAGTTTTGGGTCCTACTGTTATAAACACTGAGATAGAAAGCTTCCTCTGCAGTTACAATTTTAAATATTCTGTGAAGTCAGCAAGAGTTTGTCAGCCACCAGCCAAAAGTAGGCATTTTTCCCCTCTCCTGTAAATTTTTTGCTTTCTTTTTGTTTTGCAAAGAATAAATCTGCTTTCATCTTCTGACTGTTGCCAGCAACTGATGTGAACATCTTTTCAAATTCCAGAGGATAGCTTTCCTCTTTTATCCATAAAAATTCTCTGTAAAATTGATTCTATTCTAGAGAGGTAAAAGTGGTCATTTTGGCTCTGCAAAATCACTGCTTTCCATTTTATTGCATATCTCTCTAGGTGCTTATAGCCCAGAAAGCCAACTGCATCCTGGGCTGCATCCAAAGCAGTGTGGCCAGCAGGGCAAGAAAGGGGATTCTGCCCCTCTGTTCTGTTGTGCTCTGCTCTGGTGAGACCCCACATGGAATGCTGCATCCAGCTCTGGGGTCCCCAGCACAGGAAAGACATGGAACTGTTGGAGCAAGCTCCAAAGAGCCAGAATGAAATCAGCTCAGTTGGCTGGAGCCTGGTGCTAATAATGCCAAGGTTGTGACTTTGACTCCTGTGTGGATCACTCCCATAAGAGTTGAACTTCATGATCCTAGTGGGTCCCTTTCAGCTCAGAATATTCTGTAATTCTCAGATTAGAAGCCTATGAGAAGGGTGGAAAAAGACTTTTCATAGGGGCCTACAAGAAGGATGGAAAGAGACTTTTCACAAGGGCATATGACAGGACAAATGGGAATGTCTTCAAAATGACAGAGTAGGTTGAGATTAGATATTAGTGAGAAATTCTTTACTGGTGGTGACTCACTGGCACAGGTTGCCCAGAGAAGCTGTGGATGCTCCATCCATGGCATTATGCAAAGCCAGGCTGGATGGAGCTCTGAGCAGCTTGGTCTAGTGGAAGGCTCACTGCCCATGGCATGAGAGTTGGAATAAATCTCTAAGGTCCTTTTCAGCCAAAGCTGTTCTATGATTCATGAGATAGATAGATAGATTAGATAGATAGATGATAGATAGATAGATAGATAGATAGATAGACAGACAGATAGATAGATAGGTAGATGATAGACAGATCTCTGTAAAATGATCTATTGCACTACCTACTCAAAAAAAGTTTTCATCAGGAAATAAAACATTTCTACAAAATATTAATAGTGAGGCACTGCGATCTGCCTTACAAGCAGGTCCCTGGCTGAATGGGGAATGCCCAGGCATGGAGATTCTCTCTCCCTCCTGTCCCTCTCACTCTCAGTCCCCCAGTCCCCTCAGTCCCCCCAGTTCCCCCAGTGCCCCCAGTCTCCCAGTGCCCCCAGTCCCCCCAGTCCCTCCCCAGTCCCCCCAGTCCCCCAATCCCCCCAGTGTCCCCAGTCCCCCCAGTCCTCCCAGTCCCCCCAGTCCTCCCAGTCCCTCCCCAGTGCCCCCAGTGCCCCCAGTCTCCCCAATCCCCCCAGTCCCCCAGTCCCCCCAGTGCCCCCAGTCTCCATAATTCCCCCAGTCCCCCAGTCCCCCCAGTGCCCCCAATCCCCATAATTCCCCCAGTCCCCCAGTCCCCCCAGTCCCCCCAGTCCCAGTCCCGGTTCCCGCGGGGCCGGGGCGGTGCTGCCCGGGGCCGGCAGGCGGCGCTGCCGAGCAGAGCGCGGGGCCCTGTCACGGCCTGGAACGGGTCGGTTTTCACTTCCTCTGCTTAAATATTCGCGATTGTGTCATTCCAGAAGGGTTTTCTGATGTTTCCACCATTTATCAGTAGAAATCTGAAAAGAAAGTCGCGTATAAAAGGCATTTCGCGGACTATTTTCTTAGTACGCCATGAGAAGCTGCCTGCCTGTGCCCCTCCACATTTAACTTCACAGGAAACTGAACAATCTTCCTTTAAAATAGATAATATAAATATTTTATATAGCATAAGCTAAAAGGAAGAGGCCAGTGCCACTAGAATGACTAAATTTAGCTTGTTCCATGCACTCTGTGCCTGGCTCTTTGAACAAAGATGTCAAAAGCTATAACATCAATTCCACTGATCCCTCCAACAAATGTATCTTGTAGAAGAACTGCACTTACTTAACAACCACGTGGGCAATTCTCAATGATTGGTTCCTGTGGTATTTGCTGTCAAAACCAGAATTCTTAGTTCACCAATGCACTTCCTCCATTATATGGCCTTTGTCATAGCCAATGATGATTGTAATTCAAATATGTATTTTTCCATTTGATTACACTAAATGTATGTCCAAGACCATGAAAGTCTGTAATAGATTTAGAAATTCGTTTGAAAACTCATTTGGTCTTCATAAGCTTGATTTCTTTAAAATCATATGGGAAATGGGAAATGGGTGAGTGGTGTTTCCTTCTTGAGTATTAACTGTTAGTTTTTTTAAAAATAAGAAATTTTTCCCCCTTAGTTGAGAGCAATATTTTAGGAAAATCTAAAATATTTCAATAATTCCTTCCATGCTTCTTTAGAGATGACTTTTGTTTTAACTGTCTGCAGAATTTCCAATGTGCTGCTCTGCAATGTGACAGACCGGGTGTCCTTTTGGTTTGTGGTCACAGACTCTTCCAAAAATGTGACAACTGTTCCTGGAAGTGAGGTAGAGGCAGCCATCAGGTACAGTCACTGCTCTTGCAATGTTTTCTTCCTTGTCTGCTGAGGATGTTGTCTCTCTCTGGGCCTTTTATGAATGAGCACTTTGCCTCTTTAAGGATGAACTAATCCAAGTTGCTAAAACGCTGAGGGCACAGTACTCTTTAATGAATGTGAGATTAGAGGATGTTTAACAGTCCCACAGAATGCAAAGAACTTGAGCCTTGGGATTATAACTTTGGAAAGAATCTCTGTTGATGCTGGAGACTGAAGAAATCTAATCCCTTTCCAGAGCCCCACCTGTGATGTGCTGTCCAGTGTGTGGCACACTGCTCTCATCCAGCTCTCATCACATTTCCCAGTGAGACAGGTGATGGAAGGGAACACTTTCTCGGTGGGATTAATATAATTTGGCTTTTACTGCATGGTACATGCACATCTATACCTGGGCCAATGACTGTAGGCTCCCCTTCAGTGCTTCTCACTAACAATTCATCTGAATTAATTTAGAAGTCAGCTTTCACATGAGAAGAGCTCGTGTGAACTCCTCATGAGCAGAGCTGGCTGTGTCCCAGCTTGGCTTAAGCAATCTTGTGCTCGCATTCTTTTCATACCAGCTCCTTCTAGAATGCCAGTCAGTATCCCAGCTGAGCATTGCTTGTACAAAGTACAGTGCACTACAAATCACTTTGCCTTCTACTGTCACATTCTGGAGCAAGCAAAAGGAAGAATTTGGAGCTGACAAGGGAAAAAGAAAAAATGGGATAATCTGACTTCAATGGTCCAAAAAAACCTGCACCAGGGGTTTAGAGGGATGAGTCCCTCAAGCAGCATAACACAAATATATTTCTCAAGCATGGAGTGGAAAATGGATCTCTTTGTTTTCAGGCATTCTGTTCTGTCTTGAAAATTCGTGTTATCGCAATGGAGGTGTAATGCCTAATTCCTGATGAATGAGTATGCGTTCTTTTGGAAAGATTAATTTAAGCTTATGAGCAGATTAAACTGTTTCCTACAGAGACACCAAACAATAGCTTCACAGCATTAGTGGAGGAAGCAGATTATTTATTCACTGAAGCTCTCTGTAAGAGTGCTGGAATGCGGGGGTTTTGCATTTCTGTTATTCTTTGATACATTCAGTAGCATAAGCTGATTTATTTAAGCCTTTTATGTGCCCTGTTTGGCACAGAAATTGGATGGTGTTATTGTTTGGTTTTTAACTGTTGTCTGTCACCTGATAAAGAATATGCTATTTATGAAAAGTTTTAATTCCTACCTAATTTAAAAACAAGAAATAAAAGGGTCTATAAAACTAAAATGGTTTTTTTGTTCAATTGCTTCTGGTTGCAGGCTTCCATACAAAACCTTTATTACAATTCTTCATGCTAGGGTAGCACATAGCACTAGTCATGGACTACAATAGTGTTGTATGAGATTCCTACAAAGTAAGAATAAAGAGGAAGGTAAACCATGTCAGAGCTCTGTATGATATTCAAAATTTTGCATAAATACACACAAGATATAGTTATGCATATACAATCATGAAATGCCCTTGTAGTTGCCTGTATGTGTTTCAGCACACAATTCTGAAACTCAAGCCACTAGATGAGGGTAAACAATGCTTATTTCAGCTGTTCACAATGATCCTTTCATATCAGTTAGGAAATCTTTTCCAAATGGCAGACAGCTTACGGAATTATGAGTCTTAAAACATGCCATGGCTTTCAGTCCTGTCCAGGAATGCTGACTTTCCATTAAGGCTAAGAACTTCCTGTTTAAGGGACAGCCAAACATTATCATTTCCAAGAAGAAAAATTTGTTAAATCTTACCCGTATTTCCCATACATCTTTTCTTAGGAAATAATTGCTTTGTGGTAAAGGAATTTAATTATATACAAGAAAGAGCTGCATTAATTCATACAGCTGCTATCAAAAAGAATCTCTCAAGACCTATATGTGTAATCCATTTGTTTAAAAATTTTTAACATTTTGAAAAAGCTAATGAAAGATACTTCTAAAGACTCTTAAATCTGCATAGATTTAGATCCAGAAATATCTTAGAGGCAGTGAAACACTTACAGGCAGTGAAAATGGGTGAAGATATCCACTAAAGGATAGCAGTTGTACTACTTCTGTGAAAAAGCAAATTTCTCAGACTTACAGTTTCTCATATGGAAATGTCAAAAAATGTAGAAAGTACAAACCCCTTTAGCTGCATCCTGCAGGGAAGAAGGACATGTTGGCAATAGGTATGGATTCTTCCAGACCAGATTGCATCCTGTGCCTCATGGATCTAAGAAAATCTGCAGCAGCAGCAGGGGCAGATGTACCAGCCCATAACATACAGGATGGTTCAGTTTGAGGGACTAGGGGGCAGCTGTGAGTAATTCCTGCAAGCAATGAAGGGTAGATCTGCCACTCCTGTGCTAAACTTGAATGCTGCATGAGCAAGGCAACAGAGCCAGCCTTACAGCTTACAACCTGCTATGTCTTCAGGACATGGTTCAAACCAGAAATAAATAATAATATCATACTTCAGGTCTCATCTGTATTTCCCAATTTTTCAGATAAATGCATACAAAAGTCTGATGTTCAAAATGTTGTAAGTGTGTGGGTGTCTGTGGATTACTGAGGTCTCTGTTGTAGTCAAGGTCTGTGTAATCTTGCCAACATCATAGAATCACAGAATCATAGACTCACAGAATCATTTAGGTTGGAAAAGACCTTCAAGGTCATCAAGTTCAACCTTTGACCAAACCACCACTGTGTCAAGCAGACCATGGCACTAAGTGCCTTGAACAGTTGTGTCTTAAACACCTCCAGGGATGGTGACTCCACAACTCCCTGGGCAGCCTTTTCCAATGCTTAACCACCCTTGCAGTGGAGAAAATTCTTCTGTTGTCCAACCTGATCCTCCCCTGGTACAGTTTGAGACTATGTCCTCTTGTCCTGTTGCTGAGAGAAGAGATTTTTCCCCTAAAGGTGGACAACATCCTTTTATTCATCACACTGGATGACATTCAGCCCTGCCTAACTTACAGCACATTCATGAAAAATCCCTTTATTTTCTACTATCTTTTTAACTTGTAAAATACCTTTATAAAGAGTTGTGATATTTTTTTGTTCTTTCTTTTTTCCCTGAAGGATGAACCGGAACAGAATCAACAATGCCTTCCTACTGAGTGACAAAACACTGCAGTTCCTGAAGATAACCTCAACCTTATCACCTCCTGTTGAACCCTCTACACCTGTCTGGCTTATTGTATTTGGTGTTGTTCTTTGTCTCATTGTGGCTGGGATTGTTTTCCTCATTGTTTCAGGGATTCAGAAACACAAGAAGTAAGCAGCCTAGCCTTTCTTCTGTTTTAATGGAATACTGATTAGTTAGGTCAGCTGAGCTGGTTTTGTATTTCAGAGCAGCCTCAGATTAATGCTGTGCATCCTTCCCTAGCTAGGCAAAGATAACCCATCTCTCCTTTTCTGAGGAAAAAGACTTAAAATTTTTAACTGTAAGGTGTAGATGCCTTAGTAATTTTATGATGTAATGAGGAAATGGAGAGTGTAAGAATATGGTCCTGGAGGCCACCTGACTAGAGATGAGCTTTGAAAAGACAATTGATGTCATTCTTGGGAAGGTTTATTGTACCACGGGTGAGTCTCCTCTCACAGACCACCCACACAGCTACCAGGAGGGGGAAGGCTGGCAGTGACTGTGTCCCTTCCAGGGCAGTAGTGTCAAAAGCTGGTAGGGCTAAAGAAACTGTGCTGCTGCAGCTTGAGAAGACTCAGTAGAGCACACAGTAATGATTAATGTATGGCTGAAGAGGGCCTGCTCACTGGAACAGAGCAGGATTTCACTTAACATCCATGACTTGATGAGCTTAAAATACGCAGCCCTTCACAGGTTCCTGGGCAGATCCACCCATGAGCTTAGGAATTTTTCTGGTGGTCGGGTAGGAGATACTCTCTTTTCCTCTCCATTTCTGCCCTGGTGGCACTGGTGAAAAAGGGAAGGGTATTCATGCTTCCCTAGTGTGGGAGCAACACGGAGAGCGGGTGGAGTTTTGATCCTGACACCTCTGCTGGCTCTGAGTTGAGCATAAGGAATAGAAATTTCTCAGCTGAGTTGAGATTCTGCCATAGAAGTTCAGCCTCTACCATGCTTTTGGCTGTCACAGAGTTTAGGTTTAGTTTTGTAGTTTAGGCTACAAAATGGTGACTTCAGCAATAGATTCATAGAGGAACAGCAGAAGAACTGAAAAAGGGTACATTCCTGCTGATAACCAGATAATATCCAAATTATTGACTGTATAATGGATTGTATCCCCAAATATATCAGAAAAAGGAGTTTTTATTACATAAAAAGTAGTATGTTGCAGAGACTTCTCCTTCCTGCCTTTTTATTACCTTGAAGAATGTTGGAGGACCTCAGAAGAACAACACTTGGGAAGGTTAAGTGCTTCTCATAGAGGACCTTTAGTAGGGCAGTCAGAATCCCTTCAGTTATATTTTTCAATCAGAGGAGTTACATGAATTTCCAAAACCCCTTTCTGTTTTCTAAAAAATCCCACAAAACTCAGCAAACAATAGACGAAGGATACTGTTGGGGAAAGAGTCTGGGAAGGTATTTGGAATCTGTGGATAGTTAAAGCCGTATCACAGCCATGTTGTATGGACTGAGTTATCTCATGCCCTAAACATAGGCAACCTCTTCTGTAAAACTGAGTGATGTTGCTACCTGAAGCCCATGCCTGCTCTCTGTGATAAGAGCATGCAGTTTGGCTCTGTGTTTTTTTATAGTGGCTAAATTTCAGGGAGTCTTTGAACATTTCATGTAAGTGTAATAAAATAAACTAGGATAAATAGCTGGGATTTTTCTCGCTAAAATAATCACTTGTGCTTCATATCATGCTGAAAGACAGGATTTCCCCCTGTATTTTCAAAATAATTCAGCTGAGCTTGAGCAGTTCCCTTCAATATGGTGCAAGCTGCATGCTCTTATCATCACACTGCCATTAGTATGGCTTGTTGCTGCCTGCCTGTGCACCCTCTCTGTCTCATGCTCTTGCCCTTTTAGTTGCTATGCTTTTTCCACTTCTCCCTCTGTTTCCCTACTCTACCATTACATAAAACCTTTCCTCAGAGCAGGCTCATCTGTGGCCGAACTGTAACCCTCCTTTCACATCAATAACATCTGCAGGCAGGGGTGGGGAAGTAAGAGAGAGGGTAAACCAAGCATGTATTTCTTCTATCTATGGTTGCAAGGACTGGAAAGGTAAAAGGGATGGTCTGGCTTATTTGGCTTCTTGGAAAAAAAATCAGAGAAAAGGATTTCAAAATAACTGATCTCTTTGTCAGACAGTGAAGTAAGTGACCAGGTTTTCAAAGGCTTCAGCATGTTCAATAATTTGTTTACTTAGAAGTCTGTCCAGAGCTTACATAATGGGAACCCTGTTGCCTAGTAAGCTGTGTTGGAAATCTGACCCCTAGGATGGTGTCATCTTCTCATAAATCTGGCATTTTGTCTTTAAAGGCCTTTAAAATGCCATGTAAATACCTCAGTTCAGATAAGACCAAAAGCACGTGCTCCAGGCTGTCCATGCTCAGGGTGTCAGGGAAGGGGAGTTGGCTTACAGAGGAGATTCAGTACTGAGTTAGACTCATGCATCATTTATTGAAGTGAGAGATGTGCTGAATTCAGTGCCTGCAGTGAGCTGGCTCAGACACACTGTCTCCCAGCCTTGTGTTTGCTCTCCTATCCTTGCAGGAATGGGACACCTCCCCCTACAGCAATAGATTTGCCCCCTGCCCAGGGCAGGATCATCCTCTGCAGTCTATCCTGAACTCACCCAAAGTCTCCCCTTATCCCCCTGCAGCAGGGGCCATAAAAATTGCCTTGGGAAGAGTGAAAACAGAGACAGCACAAGGTCTTTTCCCGTATTATTTCTCCCAGGAATCCATTTGCAGCTGTGGGCCTTCCTGAGCTGGATTTGGTCTTCTTGTATGTTTTCTCTTCCTTTAACTTTCTCTTCCCTTAACTTCCTTTAACTTAAGGTGTTGAGTCACTCCTTGGATTCATGGAAATTTTTAGCTTCTCTGAATTCCTCTGATAATGAGTTTCACATATCTTCTACTCCTTTCATTTCTTTTGAACCTCCTTAGTAACTTTTATGTTCTGCCCCCACACTTTTATGTTAAAGAACATTCCTTTTTATCAGTGTGAGAGTAGCCAGAGGTCAGAGGTTTCCGCTACTACACCCCAAGTTTATTTTAACAAGTCTGTAATGTGAAGAATCTCCCAAAGGCCTATAAAATTTTATTATTGCTAATATCTCTGTCATTAACAGTTACTCTGAATCAGACTTTTACTGTTGTCCTGAGTCAGATTGTTACAGTGCACGTTGTGAGATAGGAAGAAGCAGTGCACCTGACCTTTGAGTTTCTTGTCCTCTGAAAGCGCTGATGCTGCAGGCCATAAAGTACAGCAGGTTTTTCAACTATGAACTAATTGTTCCCAAGGTCAGAATAAATCTGGAATTAAAGGAACATCGTGACCTCATATTTGTTTATTACATCTTCTAATGATTGTATTTTAGATAATATTTTTTAGGGGTTTTTTTAATGTCAAGAATTTTATTCAACCACTGTTATGTTTTTGGGACAGCTGGAGTCTGGAAAAGTGAAAGCCATGCAATTGTTTGATCTAGAAAACAAAAGTATAAAATACTGGGTAGGAAGGTGGCTGCTAATGAAGTTTGAAGGAAAAAAAATGCAGATTTGCAGCATTGAGATTACCTAAGAAAGTAATCATGAATATTCTGAGGAAGGTAATAATGGATGTCATTAATGTCTCCACATTTGGAGGCTATAGTTAATCTAAGACTGATCTGTTTCTAAAAAATATGTTTTATTTTGTACAGATCATGGGGTGTGATCTATAACATACATTGCAGGGTCAGATTACATGCTTAGTGTAGACCTTTCTGATGTAAAAAAACCCAAACAGATTTAGAGATTTTTTCAAATTTTGTTTTGCTCCAGCTTTTCTTTTGTACCTTCTAGTCATGTTGGAGAATAAGAAGGTGAAATAGTATTTAAAACATACTTAGAACATGTCTACTAAAGGTTTTCTGGTCTCCAATTCTGAGCTCAAACTGCTAAACTAGGGCTTCCAATCTGTGGGTTCCCCAGCTATTTAGATACACTATCTGGTGTATTTACTACAGCAAGGAAGTAAATAGGAAGACTGTGCCATTAGGAGCATAACCTATGACAAACTTCTAACTAAATATGCCGTTTTCTTTCCATGGAATCATTGTGAAGTGCTGCAGGTCAACAGAATAAGATGATCTTTTCTTTCTTGTTTTTAGAAAGAATAAAGAGTCAACAGAGAGAGAAAATTTAGAAGAGAAAGTTGAAGTGACACTAGAAAATGGGATTCCTTGTGAAGCACTGGATTTAAAAGCAGGCCACATTAATGGAGTCTTTGCAGCAGATGATGACCGGTTCACATCCCTATGAAATGCTGCCACTGCTCTCTGGTGGTTTTCTGAAAGACTCCTGTGCCTGCCTTTTCTCATCACTACTCCTGAATGTCAAACATGAAGACAAGAAAAATGTCCTTTCACGTGATTTTCCTTGAGGGAACCTTTTGCTTGGGTCATCCTCCATTACAGTTCTTTTTCATGAGCAACACAAATAAGAAGGCCTCAGATAATATCCAGAAAAGATTTCCAGGAGATGTGTGGCAGAACAGGGTTGGAACCTGCCTTGTGCCAGGCATCTCATTTTTAATGATTATTTAAATGTGTCTATCATTTGTTTTTCCTGACATAAATGTGGAACTGCTTTATTCCTGAATGTCACTGGGGAGATCATCTGTCATTGTCAATTCTTGATGGGTTTTTTTTCAAGCCATATGGAAAAAGTTTCTCTGTAAAATTACTTCTGTTTGCTGCTATGTAGTATGCCTTTAGATGGAACAGTCATCAGTGCATGAAAGTTTCCAGTTACTGAGACGCATAAAAGCTTTCACAGCCTCTGTAAGACCAGGTCAAAATACCTGGATCTTGTATAGCTCTGGGGCTAGCAAAAATCTGGTACTAGAAGTGTTTTTCACTTAACTGTCAAGGTTACAGATTATGTGAGCTGGAAATTTGCAAAACTCTGAAATTTGTTGAAATTAAAAGTTGCAATAAAGGGCAGGTTTTCCACAGGTGCAGTCAGTGTTTTGTGGCCCAGCTCTCATTAATCACAGGCCAGCCTGGATTGGAATGGATTTGCAGACCATCTTGTTCCAATTCCCCTGTCATGGGCAGGGACACCTTCCACTAGACCAGGTTACTCAGAGCCCCATCCAGTCCAGCCCTGAGCACTTTCAGGGGTGGGGCATCCACAGCTTCTCTGGGCAACCTGTTCCAATGCCTCAATAACCTCACAGTAAAGGATTTTTTCCAAATATCTAATCTAAACGTGCCTTCTTTCAGTTTGAAGCCATTCCCCCTTGTCATGTCACTACATGCCCTTGTAAATAGTCTTTCACAGCTCTCTGGAAATGTCTTGCTTACAGTTTTTAATAATAAAACTAGAGTAGATTTCCAGCATAGCCAGCCTGGGGTCAGATGAACCTTCATGATCATGTGATAGGTAGACAACTTTTGAAAGGATTCAAAAGATTTTGAAACACCAATTGCTGAGTTTGGTGCGCCTGATCTGGATAAGTGATAAAATTCTGGCTGTCTTCAGAAGCATTGGTCAACAGAAAAGGGGAGCTTTGTGTGTGGGTAACTGTAAAAAGATAAAGGAAATGTGTTGAAGCAAAATATGGCATCTGCAGTCACTGAGTATCTGCCCACATCACTGGAGGCAGGATTTGACCATTAACCATCCTGTTTCCAGTGTCATGTCTAGAAGCATATTAGAAAACGTCTTTGCTTATTAGGATTGTTTCATCAGACTCCTCACCAACAGGAACAGGCTTAAACAGAGTAAAATGTGCTTGTAAAGGACCATCCAGTGTTCTGAAGGGTACAAAGGTTTCTTGTTTCCCAGGGTGGAAATCCTTCAATCCTTTGTCTGTATTGAGTACCTTTGACTTGTCTCAGTACTGGCTCTTAGGACCAGTGTCAGCAGAAAGGAAGGAATGGGAAGGAGAAGGGGAAGCAGCAGGGTGAAAGGGGAAAGCTGAGCAAGGGAAGCCCAAAGCTAGTGGAGGCAGGAGTGAGGAAGGCAAAATACAAAATAAAGCCATGAACCCACTAATCATTTGCATAATGTGGTCTCATTTGTCACAGTTGTCTTTGATGTCCTGCTGGTGGGTCCCTCTGGACAAGGACTGCATCATCTCTGTGTCCCAGTGTGGGCTACTCCATTCTGGAAAGGATTAATAAAGTTTGTTAGTGATAATATCTCAGTGCTTCAAAATTACCGTCCACAACATGTGGATGTGTTTCTCACAGGAATGTTGAAGATGAAGTTTGTCAGGGTTGGAGGGGAAATATAGAGTACAGTGTTATTACTGCCTCAGTTGTTGCTCCAAGGTCTCTCATGCAAAGTTTTAGTGAAGTAATTCAGATCCCATCATTTCTAAACATTCACACTTTTCCATATTTTGCATGACAGATATCTACACCTCAGTGTGACCACAATGGTTTGCTGGGTCTGCAGTGCCTCTGCAAGAACCTGTGAGAGATTTTGGTGAGAACAGCTTAGTAGTGCAAGAGCAACCTCAAGTTACAGATTAAGAATTGCTGTTTTCCTGTATTGTACTATATGATACTGAAATAAAATTCTCTTGAGATGAAAAAGGGCCAAGCTTATCTGAGCATACTTCTCAAGGCCTGAGTGAAGGTTCAGTTTAGCCTATGGCACTGGCCACCAATTTGAAAACAGATTGAAATCCTCTAGACAAGAAATTATGCAATGTGGGCTGACTGTGGTGGTAAGTATTTAATCAGTGTCTTCCTGACAGCTCACCTTTTACAGCAGTTTGGCTTAATTTTCTGCTGGTGATGATAAGGGAATCACCCAGGGCGTACACCTAGCTTGCCTCTCTGCTGACAGAAAATGGCTCGAGAGAAGCAAATGATACATGAGCAGCCGTATACTACATTTAGCAACATTTTGAAGTCAGTGTAGGTATTAGCTCTTTCACTTAAATAGACACTACAAATGAGGTTAATCAAGGTCACAGTGCTACAGAAGAAATAAATCTTTTTTCTAGTCTGTGCAGTAGGATCTTATTAGAAAACAAAGGACACTTTGATTTGAAACAGCCTGTCCTCCAGAGCCTGTAAATGGTACAACAATTTATATCCCTTGAGGATCTGGCCCACATGTTTTATGTAACTTCCACTTTTTTTTTTTTCTCTAAACCACCTGCATCCTACCCATGATAATAAACAGGAAAGTGAGTAACAAGTAATATAGACTGCATAGTGAACTGCTTCCCAAAACAATGAGTTGGTTCTGATTTCAGTTACATTCGTACTGTGCCAATGAATCTTGGAAAGAGGTACATGGTGTGCCCAAGACTGAATTTTTTCATTTCCAAGAGCTGTATTTAAGAAAAGAGAAGAAAAAGGAAAATTCAATTCAATAAAGCAATAAACCCAGAGTAGTTCTGTTTGAAGAAAATCTGCAGTGTTTATCACTAGCTCCACATCCCTGGCAAGTTGACATTTCAGAAAGGACTTTCACAATTCTGTTCAGCTTGCTTGAGAGGGAGCATTGATGCCTACACCAGAATGAGCACAAATCATGCATGAGTAAGTTGTTTACACTGTCGGTCATTAGCCAGACATTTGGAGTGCTGAAGAGCATTGGTGTAAAGAGTCTGTCTGTGGTACTCAGCCCTGAACATCTCTATCAGCCCACCTTGCAGTCTGGTACTCCCAACTGGACCTGGTATTCCCCTGGGCTCAGCCAGTGCTGAGGAGCCTGCAGGGATGAGCTCAGGGGCCTCATGCACACTATCTGCTCCTGTTTGTCCAGGTACAACATTTGCTTCTGTCATACTGATCTTCTTGGACAACTCTTTCCTAGCTGAGCCTTCATAAAGTGGCACCTTTATTCCACATTTTGAGGGAAGTCAGTCCATTGTTTCTGCTGTTATTCACTAAAAGGATGTGTGAAATGGGCTCAAGAAATCTCAGGGCAGTCTCAAGCCCTGTTCCTTCATCACTGTGAGTACGAAATAATTTCCAAATTAATACAAATCACAGTATTAGCACAAGAACTTTTGGTTTGATAATTTCTTTCAATAACTGGATTCTAGTTTTGACCAACCAAGGAGAGTTACCACATCTTGACAGAAAGAGTTTTTCATGTGTAAACTCTCACATTTGGGAAAACAAAAATATTTACTTTTGAGGTCAGGGAAGAAGTGCAACAAAGACATGAAACAACTCAGTGAAAAATGAGAGTTTATGATTCTAGATACTCTTAAAACATGGCTCAGATGCTCTCAGAAATTTGGTTGGTTCATCAGTGCAGTAACCTGTGACTCATGAAATAAGCTGTTTTAAATATGCTGGGTTTTTATAGAAAATGCATGACCAACTGTCCACAATCCATTAGCAATGAACAATCTTGGCTTGGCTTTCTATGAGCGGCTCCTTTTGGCCTCTCATGGTTTTTGTTTCCTTTTAATGTGTCATGCAAGAAGGGAGGTGTGCAGTGGAGTGACACCACAGCTTCCTACAAACAGACAATTGCTAATGAAAAATTTGCACAGTTAGATGTGCCTAATTTGAAGGACTGAACTTGCTATTTTTCAAACCACATTAAACTAAAGTACATCAACAGTGATGAGTGGGTCACTCTTGCCAGCACAAACACATCGGTATGTTCAGTTTTGTGAATACATTAAGCACTGTGGATGCACTTCACGTGGAAGCCTTGTGTTTTAACTGGATGTTTTGTGTCTGCATTGATGTTTGCATCAGTCCAGAGTAATTCTGCCCTTATAGCCCAGATCCAGCTTTGTTATGAGTAAAGTAAGCAGGTTCAGTAGGAACTGAATTTGATCTAAGATGAAAAAGTAAAATTTGATTTTGTTGGTTGGTCTGTCCTCTTCCTTCCTACCATGTTTCCCTTTCCCTCAGAGGTGGCAATTTGAAGCTGTCAAAGCATCTTGCTAGCTACAGCAATGACTAAATGGAAAACATTTAATTTTGGAAAAACTGCAAGAGGTTCTTGCATTATTTCTACATCACCTTTGCTTTTCTCCTATAATTTGAATTATACTTACTACAAATGACAGTATGTAGCTTTTATCAGTTGTGGACCAACAGGAATTTTAGACTTTGGACTAACATTCTTGATGATATTGTATCTAAACAACTTTGCAGGTGCTGATGTGTGAGCACATGCTCACTGTAAAATGAACTGGGGCCACTTGCTTAGTAAAACTGAAGTGAGAAACACACGTTACCTGGATGCAAAGCCATGCTTCAGAGGATCAATACCTTTCCCTTCATTGTTGGGGCGAGGTGTTTTTTTTGTAAAGGGCAATGTGTAAGGGATGTAGAGTATTGTGCACCTGAGTGGTTGCCTCTCCTTTGCCTTTATAGTGTATGGTTTTAATTTTTACCGTAGCCTTCAAAGTAACATGTTATGATACCCTGATTTATCCTGTCAGTTTGTACACCCATCTTCCTAAAAATCATTCAGCTTCAAACTTTCTCCTAAACTTTGCAAACACACTTTGGTTTCCTGATGCTTCAGGAAACTGACAGCATCTTTACACAGCTCCTGATGTGCTCAGATCTGAGGCTGGTCCCTGTGCACAGGGCACTGTCCTTTGGCAATGCTGAGCACTCTGACTTGGGAAACAGCCATCAGCCTGTGGCAATCTGGGAGTGCAATGGAGCTGAGTGGAGGTGACAGCTTTTTTGGTCTGAAAAAGAAAAGCAGGGAGCAAATGGGACAGGAGGTTATGGAGAGGTATGCATTAGTTGTCCAAGGCATCGGTCCCAGGCTCGGAGCAGTGGGGTGCAAAGCCCCCTGTGCCCCAGGAGGTCGCTGGGTGGTGGCTGGCAGTCGAACCAGGTGGGTGCTCTGCAGGTAGCAGCCTCCCCTGGCTTCCTCTCCTCACAGACAGAGATTCTGACTGTGGTGCAGCAGGTGGGGCATCTCTGGCTGCCTTTACCTCCATTGCTGCTGGGCAACAGGGAATTAATCCAGCCGGCCACTCATCTGCCCTTCCTCGTTC